GAGGGCGAAGTGAAGCAACTTGTGCAAAGTTGATGCTTGGAACTTAAGAAACGTGGAGCGGAACGAGCTCGAAGCACTTGTCAAGATCAAAGCAACCACTTGTGGTACGAAAATCAACAACCAAAACTGATATCGCCTTCTTCTTTTTGGAACAGGCTGGCCAAATAGGCTGACACCTCCTCAGTGCTAATGCATGGACGCCGGCGTTGGATAAGACACATAGGAAACAATCATGTGAAAATTTTGCTGGGCGAATTCTGCAAGTCTCGAAAATGGGATGGACCGGTGTAGGTAGGTATACATGGAGCCTCCGATCCGCAAGTGCTAAAAATTGCGGACCGAACTTCGCTGGCTTCAAATTTTTGACGCTAATGAAGCCAAAGAGTCATCGAACAACTAGTCAAGACACCTTCAACCGCATTTCGACCTTCGAGAGGAGTCGAGGTATTGAAACTCGAAAGCCACTTGGACCTAAGACTGCACATAGCAAATGAAAATGGCGAAATCCAAAACGGTGAACAGTTTTGCAACTATTCTGCATACAGAACAAGCATCATGGCTGATGGTATGGTCTGGCGACTAGCAAGTACTGGCACCTGGCAGCAGGAGTTGCACCATGGCCTTTGCAGGCGCTATCTGTGTGAAAACAGGGCTGTGCCGCGGTTGGAACGTTTTGAAACACTTGGGCAATACCTGGACTGGGTATGTACTGACAGAGATGTGCATATATGTGTAGGCCATGCTTGTATACTGTGTCGGCTGTCATATGCTGCAATCGGGAGGTGCTCAAGACTCTCCAGGCTCCAGATTCCAGCGTCATAGCCACAATGGCGCGACCACCTGCCACGACTGCCATTAAAATCTCATCAGTTCAAACACATTTCTCTACAATCTCTCCGCCTCTGGACATGGCAATGGCCGCTCGCTAACTACGACCTACATCTGCTTACATACATATAGAAATCATCCCCAAACGACGCGTCTAAAGCTTACAGCTTTCATAATACAGTTAGGTACAGCCTGGCACAGCCCACCATGAGGTACGCATTACACACTACATAGTGGCATTACACGCGCAAATTGTGTATATGGAAGTATTCATACAGGTATATGAATGCATTGTGTATGTAAGTGCCTGGATTTGGACGAGGTCTTGGACGGACTCAAGCGGGATCCTGAGAGCCTGACTTGGTTGCCCATTAACCTTTGCCCACGGATCACCGCAGCGCAGCCGCTGAAGAACTCTCTTCACTAATGCGTCCAGCTGGCCATGATTTTTATGGAAAGTGCACACCGTAAAACCAGTGCGTATATATATGAGTACTTGTCGCGACGGTGACATTACACACTAGTGTTGGAAGAACAGTATGTAGAGCACTACTACCAGTCAAGAAGCGGAGCTGTGCATAAGTATGTGTCATGGTGTTTCGACCGTTGCCGCTCACGGTAGACCGGTCCTCAGAGGTGGAGAGGCATTCCACGAAGGCAAGGAGAATGGCTAGACTCATACAAGTCTGAAGAGTATACCAGGAACATATACCAATCCAGCATGAGGAATAAGAGAGGAGCAGGAGATGTTGGTGGATGTGCCGACGGGTGGAGCCCAATGCCGCGGGATGGCTGAATGCATTATCATCTGTTTCTTCCCGCCTTCACAATCATATTACGTACAGTCAAGTGATACACACTATATGCAATAAGTCACGGGCCAGAAGAGCCGTATCTCATCAATCACATATCATCTCATCGCTACCCGCAAGGGAGATGTGCAAGCGGCCAAACGCTGTGCAATCCGGAAGGCTGCAATGGCCTATACCACTGCAACTCTGCGAGAGCAATGGCTGCGGATGGGCTAAATGAACCGTCTTTCGAAACTCAGCAAGTCACCAGGGCGCCATCATGAGAATTGCAAAAGCCAAAACACTTTGGGGAGAGAGAGCTCGAGCTGCGCTTGTAGGATATCAGCAGACCGCAGCGCACGAGATGCAAAAAGTCGCCGGCGTATTATAGTTCTACGCTGCGCATATGCTGCAATTCTCCAATCAAAAGCATGCCAATGCATCCAATAGAACTTTGAGACACACTTGAAAGAGACTGTGACGACTGGAACGGGCTGCTCATCAATAACAGCCCTGGTGGGTCCTCTGTAGCCGTCGATCATTATCCACAGTTTATGCACATGTCTGGATGAATTCATGCAATGCTAGACTAGCCAAAGGAGGGACTCTCGGGAAGCAGCCCTGGGTCAGAACCTGCCTGTTCATTCACGCCTGCCAGAGCCTCGTTGCCCTTTCGCCTTCACCCTTTTTCTGTCTCAAGGTTCCGGGCCGTCATCATATATAGATGGGTACATGCATCATCGCCGCACCAGCAAGACCGTGAGTTGTTGCTGACACCCCCCCGTCCATGAATGCACATTGCATCGCCCTTACAAATGGGACTATCAACGTCGGCGGAGACGACAAATTTTTACAGAAAAGGTGAACCAGGTCTATACCTCGGGGCGACCACACATTTAGACCAAGGATCCATGGATAATCCGAGTAACTGATGCTAATCGGGCGCTCTTACTATCATGGAGTTCAAAGCCTTCCATTTGATCTCGAGCTCGCAATGGGGAACTACTCCGTAAGTGGCGACCTGTTAAGCAAGTCGGCCTATGGCTTGGAGACGGCGGTACCCAACGACAACGGCGCCGAAACGTCCAATGCAAGCGAAGATGCAAAATGGGTTCCGTCCGCTGGATGGAGACGATGCAGCAGTGTGGCGAATCTTCGTACGAAGGACAGACAGCATGTTATCGCTCTCGAAGAAGGTAGGTGGTTGCGTGGCTCATAATGCACCTCAGTATTATGCTGACATATTCTTGCTGCTATCCAGAAAGGTCCGGCGCGACGACATGCAGCCTACTCGTGGAACATATGCAAGGCTCAGGAGGGTGTGTCAGACGAATGATCTTTTGATGGATGTTAGTTGGAAAGGTATCATCTGGCTGCTTGCATAGGTCCTGAATCGACACATGCATATTATGACTTGTCGCGTTCAGAGAGAGCCGCCGTCAAAGGGTGTTATGTCTGCTACGACGAACCTTTCCTGTTCAGTGAATGAATTTGCTGATTTACAGCAAAGAGCGGGCGGCATACCAAACTGCTGGTCTCGAGATCCCGGCGCTTAAGTACCATCATCGGACGCGGCACGCACAGCGCTTACCAGAGGAGTGGCCCTCCAAGCGCTCTGTGCCGAAAAAAAACAGGCAAAGCAGGCCGATAATCCGGACGCAGCTAAGAACGCGCCGAAATTTGCGGGATCAAAGCCCGAGAGCCTCATGCTCGGTGCTGGCGCAGAATTGTCTTCTACAACTCTGAAAGGTTTCGGCATCGCGGAACCGATCCCAAAGATGGCTCAATCAAATGCAGCCATTACTGACGCGCCGCAATGGCGCCAAGTGTCGCCTGCTGATCAGTCAAATGAAGGAATCGAAAGTCTATCAGATCGAGGCGAGCAACCCAGCAACGGTTCACCAGTCTTCGGTGCGGATTTGCGTACACAAAGCTACACCTTTGACAGGCCGTCGTAGATTCGTCTCCAGCATGGCTGCAGCACTTGTGGGAAAATATATACTTACAGGCTGCCAGGCCAGCCTGTGTGCTGCCCGTCTCATCACAGCCCGCGATTTCAGTAAGCACATCGGTTCCTTCCGCGGCGGGTTCCTCGAAGCTTCCGACGAGTCTGGATAACTACGATGCTCCACTCAGGACGGCTCCGCGGTCTTGTTCGCCGATCGAGAATACAACGCGCAGCCTGCTGGCAGCGAAGGCACCAACCAGCTCGGCAACTTCGCCGACCTCGAACTCATGCGGTGCGTGCGCAGCGGCTCAAGAGCAGTCGCTCATTGGCGGTCTGGCGTTGGCGCTCGCGATTCAACACGGCTTCTCGCCGCAAGAGACGGCCGGTCCCCTTCGATGTTCCGCGACTATTCGCCGGCGGACAGCTCTTCGTCTGTGGGCGTAGGTAGCACCAGAGTGACGTAGACAATCCTTTGTTGAAAGCGCAGTGCGATGTTTGCAAAGCACTCTGACAAAGATGCGTCTGTTCGGGTCAGGCGCTCTGAGAGAATGGTTGAGGCGTCGGGTCGGGCCAGATGTAAATGTCGTTGTCCTCAACTATTAGCCCATTGTTGTGTCGTCGAAAGTCAAGGCATGTCCACCGTCGAGACCGCTCAAGTCATTCTCTGCAGTGTTATTCGTTTCCTCTGCATCGTTGGTAGCGGCGGCGTTCGACTCAATAGCCTTGAGATGATTGAATGCTGTGGTGAAGAAAGCCCTTAGCTCGCAGATTTCGAGGGAAGTGACATTGGTCATCTTTGTATCGGGAGCACAATCTTCGGGGTCAGTGTAAGGAAGATGCAGCTTGACTATGATCGCCTTCAATTACCTCAAGGTGTGCAGAATTAATGGCACTGAGGCCGGAGATGACTTTGGCTTGCCGGGCTTCGCGAAGATCCTTGAGTAATCCTCGGATTTGGTCAGAGTCGGGGATATCACTCGATGCCCTGAATGTAAGAAGCATGGATGAGTCAACACGACCGCAAAGGGTTCGTAAGAGGCCCTATAAGCGTACGTTTCGAGTAAGACCTTGGCAATAATAGCATAGTCCTGAGGAAGCTTTGCGAAGGGTGCTGCTCGAACCTCTTGGTCATAAGCCTCCCGGAGGCTCTCTTCGAGCGACACGACATCAGTCGGTTGTGGCAAGACAGGAGAGCTGCAGCCGTCGTACTCACCGACGCTCATCCATTCCGGAGGGACGATCTTGCATTTCTTTTTGGATCGAAGGTTGATCGCCAGCCATAGTGGGACCTTGCACGTGGCCGGCGGACGGAATGGGCCGTAGATGCCTCCTAGCAGCCGTACTCGGTCGAGGGACAGAGAGGGCACGATATCAATCTCTGTGGACTCTGCCGCGAGATATTCTATCTCTGTGGGCAGCAACCCTCTTCTCACTATTGCCGCCATGCCTGTGCTCTGATGATCATCCCTAACAAGGCGTTGATTGCAGGTTGAGTGGCAATTGAGATCGCAACTCTTGGAAGCAGAGGTCATTTGAATTTGGCACAGCGATGTCTGTTCGCCCTTTGAAAGCAAATGCCGTTAACGCGTCACGCGACGTGACGCTACCCACACAACGCAATCCGTCTGAGCGCAACGCATCTCTCTCTTTAGAGGCTCCATGGAGACCTTACTCTCTGCTTCGTTCCTCACGAATCCCGCAGCAGCCTTCTAGTCTGTTCATCAGACTTAGGCTTAGAACGTGCTCGGTTACTTCGTGCAGTTGACCTGTCGAGTTTGGCAGACCGATCATCGAACGATGGTGTCGTTATTGCCTGTCTAGGTAGGCACCAGGACCTCAAAAGATCACTTGCAAGCGCAGCATATACCAGTGATGCAGAGGCCCGTTTTACATCATGGCTGATCAAGCAGCAGCTGCGTTGCTGAAACTTTTCTCTAACCTACCTGATGCATCAAGTCGGCTTCGCGAACTCCAGCACGGGCTTCGGCAGCATCGAGGACTCGCTTCTCATGGTTCCTCGTCATCCCCCACACCGCCGAGCAACAATGGCGAGGCTAGGTTGGCATGTCTGGAGGATCGCATGGACGCGCTAGAGAGGCAGATGAGCCAGCTGCAGCAAACATGTGCTGAGGTTATTCAAGCCTTGGCCGTCGTTGACGAAGATGGGGATGAGGAAGATCAGGAAAACGAAGACGAGGATGAAGCCGGAGACGATCGAGAGGAAGAGCAGGAGTCCGATACCGATTCTCTTGCCAAAGCTGCTGCACATGGCCCTGGAGCTGAATATTCGGATCCGGACTCTCTTTCTGCTTCGCAACCGTTCACAAATCTGCTCGCACCGCTCTCACGAGATCGCGTGGCAGCAGACAAAGCTCAAGATGGCGCAGATCGCCCATGCGCGAGCGCCACGACGATGGCCCTCACACGGGACTCTGCTCCTCAGACGCTGGTGAACGCATTCAAGACGTTCGTTGCGAATCGGGCTGCGAGCAGCGCAGGTGCAGGTGCAGGAGCCGAGTCGCTGCCTGTAAACTTGCCACTCATGCAACGCGGCGACCAACTCAGCGATGCGCAGCGACAGCTCATGCTGGAATTCCGACAATACCTTGCTTCGAACCCAGTCATGCTCCTCAGCCTCGCCGAAAACGTCGCCAGTGGGGCGAATCGCATCTCAGCGCGGCCACGAAACTCGGTCAAAACGAAAAGTCAAGCACCGAAACGAGCAGGACGACAGGCCACGATACCAATAGCTCGGCCTGAACAATATGTGGGGCTCGAACACTACGACGAGAAGGCTCTATATCCGATAGAGGAAGCGGATGAGCGCATGGTTGAGCACTACGGCGCCTTGCAGTATCCGCTCCCTAATCCGCCGCGCAACTTTGTGCCTGGCGACCAGCTAACGTACACTCTCAGCCGTACAACGCAGAATGTTGTCGACCTTTGGAAGGAGTGGCACTTCGGTCTCAGTCAAGATCAACCGAGCGTCATCTTCCTCGAAGCGGTTTTCAAGACGTCGTGGCGCTGGACGGTCAATGCGCGGAAACAGTACAGCCAGCGAAAGGTTATTATTGACGAGGTGCATGCGGTGATGAAGGGCAAGGAATGGAGCCTCGGCAACGCGCTGAGACATCTGGAGCTCGCGCGCGCCAAGCATTCCCTCTCAATGTTTGCGGACGTGCTTAGGTGGCGAGCGCGACAAGGTATACCACCTGGACAGCTTGCAGATGAAGATGGGGACGCCTTGTTCAGATCATATAATGCAAGTCAGACGAAGCGGCCGTCCAAAAAGAAGCGCAAGCACGGAGAGATGGACACCGCCGATGCCGGGGCAAATGAGCAGACAGCGTGAGCCACCCACAGAAGGATCTAGCATTACATTTTTGCATACACATCCTGTCATTTTCCATCAGCACTTTTATATTGTACAATAGTTACCCACCAACGCTATATTATTGTCTTATGAGCAACACTCTGCGGTCCATGCCGGCCCTGGCCTGTTTGTGGGCTATCAGAAGCTTTGTCTGGCTATTTTGAAGCCGGCATCAGCTGTAAAGTCACCGATGGCTTGTCTTTCAACGTTGCTTTTGGCAGGGCTCGTCAGGTTGTCCTTGCGTGCCTGCTTCTCTTCCGGCGTATTCGTCTTCAAGCCGCTGGGAATTGCGATGAGAGCAGCTGAGGGCTCAGCGGACATATTTTCCTATGTGAAACGTGCCCGCATCCCGCCTGTGGAAGCAGGAGTTGGTCTGGCTGATCCAGACGTTTAGGATGGAAGCGTTGCGTGCTTGATTGGCTCGACGCAGTTGGCTGGCAACAGCCTATCACCGAGCTTGCCATCTCCGCCTTGGATCTGACCCTTCCATCACTCGGTTGATGTGCGCTCTGAAATGCTGACGATGTCCCCCACGCGCAGTGTGAGCTCATCTGTGTCATGCGGCTTGGGGACGTATTCGGATAGCGCTTTCGCAGTGTCTTGAGCGGGGGCGAAAAGCGATGCGCCGGACAGCTGCGATGATAGCGCTTCTGCCGAGTCGAGCATGGAAGTCTCAGTGAGGTTCATATGCTTTTGCAGCGGCGCTTTATCGACTGAGTATATGCAGTGCAAAGGAAGCAGATGCATGGGAAAGCAAGGAGTAAGGCTATGCGAGCTGGCTCAACCGTCAGCTATACACACGGTCTACAGGAGAATGGCGATGTCTCGCATCACATTGTCGATTACAAAGTCTGTCAGGCCGCCCATCTCTGTGACAAATCAGGTCTTAGTTCCCGGAGTGGTAGCTACCCAAGCGATGCTTGCAGCTTCTTCTGAGCATCGCCCGGGTAGGTACTGGCTCTGGTCAAGGGCACTGCAGTATCAGGGCTGAAAAATGAAGCAACAGCTATCTGACGCATGTCACATGCCACATGCCACACCTTGCCTCATTCGGGCTGTCACCTTTGAACGACGTAGTTCCCTCAACCTTCCTCAAGCCGAGCGGTGTAGTGTTGTTAGAATAGAATCGGGGTGCCACTCCGAGAAAGGGTTGATGAGACTCAGATTCGGATATCGCGCTGAGCAGGCGGCACTCATCTGGCATAGCACCGCGCGACACGTACAACTCGACCCTAAAAAGCACCTAGGCCAGTCGACCTCACCCACACCTACAGACATGGAGAGCAGCAAGCCAGAACCTGGCCGTGGTCGTGGGATGCTTGGGGCCTATTGAGCCTCATGTGCACGAGCGAATATAGTCGTCCTTGCCGACTCACCCTTCAGCTTGAGATCTGGAATAGGTCGATGCGCACAGATGCGAATTCAAGCAGGATGGCCGGCGAACCCGTTTCCCCCGCATCGAACATGTCGACCTTGCGGCTGTCGACTACAAGTGAACTGGATGATGTACGCTCGCTGGCCCCGTTTCTTAACCTCTGGTGTGGTTCGATAACTGCTCGTGTGCTGCGCAGCAGCTTATCGAAATGGTGCGACATACAGAGCACGCTCGATGGTGCCGTGCTCACTGTCTGTCTGTACAGGCTCAAGAACATGAACGCGTTCAATGATGCGATGATGCACGACGTCGTCTTTGTATTTGAGCTTGCTGACGCCGATGAGCACATCAAGGCTTTCGTACTGACAAGCGGCGGAAAGGCGTTCTGCGCAAGCGCAGACCTCCAAGCTGGATTGGGCGCCGATGCCGGCGGCCAGTTCCACCTGCACCGCGATGGAGGCTAACATGCGGCCCTTGCCATCCGCAATTGCCGCAGGCTCGTCATCACTGCGGTGCAGGGTAGCACGGTGTGCATGGGAGTGATGACGGTCCAGCCGGCTGACATTCGTTGCGTAGCCGAAACGTGAGTGCAGACCTGTCAGGGGATGCCCGCATCAGCATGGCTCACGTCATTCATGCATTCAGAGCGAAGGTCGCGTTCCCGTTGGTCTAACACCAGAAGTGACATATTCCTATTTGCTGCCTCGCCTGATAGGCCACTTAAGTGAGTGTGTCAGAGAGGCATATTTCATCCAAGTCATGCGTGTGCTTGGAGGTGATGAGCTTCTGGGAGTCTTTGAAGGCGTAGGACGTGAACAATGGCATCTCCGGCGCGCACCGCGGCAGGTGAAGCTGTGAAGAAGCGTCGCATCTATGATGAATATGCAGCACTTGCCTTTGCCGCGCGTTACAACGGACGAAGTCATGCTTGAGGAATGTTACATGTTACATTATGAGAATGCAAGAGAAACCGTTGGTCTCAAAAGTATGCGGCGGCGTTAGCGGGACTGGCGACGCCGCCATAGAGGTTGCTAGGCCATGAGACAAAGTGGAACGTCCACCTTTTATTCTTGACGCAGTGTTCGGTGAGCGCCTCGAGGTCGAACATCTCGCCGATGGGCATGCCGAAGAACCCGAGCAGCTGCTCGTGCAGACTCGTGAAGCCTTGGCGTGGCGGCCAGCTTTCGAGCGTCGGCGAGTCGGACGCGATGGCGGCGAAGTGTTGGTCCCAGAGCCAGGCGGCCATGCGGTGCAATGACTCGATGCCGGCAAACTTGTGGCCGCTGCCGTGCAGGGCGGCGTTGGAGATGCTCCACTTGGTGCGCTCACTGGGCTTGCTGTTGTAGTAGCGCGTAGTGAAGCCCATGCGGATGAGGAGGATGTCGCCCTGCCGGAAGCGCACGCCCTGCGCGGCGGCCGTCTCCTTGAGGTCATCGAGCGTGATGGTGTGCGTCGAGCACGGGTCGTACGGCCCGAAACGGTAGCCAACCTTATGATGCCCACGGCGCTGGCGGTCCAGGTCCTTGCGGCTGAGGTAGCCCCAGACGTCGAGCAGGACGCCGCGGCCGGAGATGCCGTGCGTGGCCCAGTTCTGCATGCCGAGCTTCAGCGCGGGGGACGAGGGCGACTCGAGGTTGGGGTTGTGAAGCCGCTGCGGTGGCACGCCGCTGGTGTGCGCGTGTGCGTTGTGCGCCTTGGCTGCGTCGTGGATCTCGGCGCGCGGGACGCCGCCGTAGAAGACGTTGAGGCTCGTGTGGCCCACGTGCCGCAGGCCGTCCCAGTGGGTGCTGCACTGCGTGTTAGCTGTGAGGACCTCGTCGGTGCACGGTGCGTGCTGCGCGTCGTCGGACGTCGTGTCTTCCGCAGAGATGGCGTTGACGGGATTGCGCCCGCGCTGCCGGTGCCGCTCGGCGACCGCCTGCCGGTGCTCCTTCCAGCGCGGCGCTGTGGACGGGATGAACGTATGCTGCAGGCCCTGGCGCATAAAAAATGGCTCGACAGGCAGGTGCAAGGGTAGATTCAGCGCAAAGCTGTGCCCGGTCTGCGAAATACAGAGGGGGATGGGAAGTATGTCAGTGTTTGCTTCTTCGTTCGTTCGTTCGTCCGTGCGTTTGTTTGCAGGTTAGAGGTACCTTGATCTCCTCCCGGGCGCTGCGCGCGACGACGGCGTCAGTGAGCAGGTTAACGGTTCCCAGCTGATCATAGCCGCGACCCCAGACGTCCCAGGCGCAGCCGGGGTGGCCGCCCTCGGCTTTGAGGTCCCTGTAGCTCGGAATGTGTTTCCATTCGGAGCGCTTCTTGACGAGGGACTGCGAGATGGGCATGGGCGACGACGCGACCGTCGTGCGCGTCACGTTCGTCAGCTGCTGCCTGATGGCCGCGACGCGCTGCAGCATGCCTGACTCCGGGCCGCCAGACGAGGAAGAGGAGGAGGTCATGGTATCTTGTCGTACCGTAGCTTCCTGTATGTTGCTATAAGCTCTCATCAGGCTTCGGCGGGCGCCTGGCGTGCCTTGCTGGCTGACGGCCGTCTCGCCGCTATCCGCGCGCTCAGCTCGTTTGGATATGTGGTGAGCACGGTGGCGGTGGGGCTGTTGGGGGATGGGCGCGGTACTGAGTGGCGGGCGGGATGGCAATGTGGCATGGCAATCAATAAGCACAGACTTGGGGTGCGGACGTCGATACGGGGGATTGACGGGAATGCGAGTCGTGGGGCTGGGGGTTTTGGTTTGGGAGGCTGAGTGCGCGTAGGCCAGTGGCCTGAAGGATAGGATTGAATAGGGTTGCTTTCCCTCCATATATGTAAATCCACACAGGCATCTTCGTGTCTATTCCGCATAGCCTTGAGCGCCCCGCCGCACGCCTCGACCCTTTTGTGTCTCTCTGTGCTCGCGTCCCGACAAGCAGAGCAGCTTGCAACTGAGCTGGCAACCACGCAGAGGTGCTTTTGATGGTGCGGATCGGCAGCGACGCATACACATGCACATGTACATCGTCCGTCCATGCATGGATAGGGTATATCGTGCTGCGTGCAGCAGTGACGGAAAAAAGCGACCAAGCTGGGGCTGCCGGCTTTGTGTGATCTGGGGCTTTACCGTCGGCCTGCCAACTTGCCCAACCACACTCGAGTTGCCTCCTACCTTTCTGCCTTGTCTGGTTGCCACAGGAAGACGCGACTGCCCGCCCTGGACACTGTTCAGTGTAGACTCGGAAACAGCTGCCAGCAACATCTCATACAAACAGGGGAGTGGCCACCGAAGGCTGCTTCCAGCAGGCTTGATGCCATACAGGAACCGAGGTGCGTCGCGTGATCCTTCACGGTCAGCATCTGCATACCGGATGGCTTGCTCAGCGCCGCGACGACTTCTGGCAGGGCAGGTAGGCTGACTTCACCAGCACCCTCAAACACCATCCAGGCTAGACTGGCTCAACTGGTAGCCTTTGAACTCGCGTGGCATCGAAGCATTTGCTCACAATGTCACACCGCACCTCGACCTGCGTCGCCATGCGAGCTGCTCAATCGGCAGTGGCAGAAAGCGATGCAGTAGACGACAGTGAGCTCTCCAGCCTCTCGGGCGATGAGTGCTTATCAGAACTCACCGACAGCAGCAATGACAGCGCCGATGAGAGCGAGACTGAACGAGGCGGCAGCAGCAGCAGCAGCAACAACAGTGACAGCGATAGCGCAAGCCTAACTAGAGGTAGCGTTAGCGACAGCGATCTGAGCGAGCTGAGCGACGACGAAGACATGATGCAAGGCGACGACGACGATGACAATGACGAGGAGCTATCAGAAGAGACATCGCCAGGACCTTCGACGCCAGGCAACAACGAGAGCCATGTGGATGCCATCGACACTTCTCTCGACCCAGAAATGAAGCAGCGCGGCGCAGCACGCAGAGCGGCAGCCTCTATCGCCAGCATCGCCCCCAAGCGTCGGGTGTCTAGCCACATGAAGGCCGAATCACTTGCTGAGGAGCAGCAGCCTTCCTCTCGGTCTTCGCCTCTGCGCCAGACACCAGCAAAAATGAGAATTCCACAGCAGAGGCAGACACGACGGCCTCCCCTCAGTCCCCGAGAGCAGCGATTCAGGGCTCGCACCCAAGCGGCCCCGACGCCTTCTGCGAAGCCTGCGAGGACGAAGGCGAAAGAGGCCGAAGCTGCGAGCGATCCAACTTCTGTGGCACTGGCGACGGCGGCGGCACCGCCATCTGAGCCGCCTCTCACCGAACGGCAGCGTCATCAGCGGGAAGAGGCCAAAAGGGCAGCCGAGCTGGACCGCCAGCGCAGGCGCGGGGAAAAGAAAGCCGCGCTAGAAGCCAAGAAGGAGCTTAAGCGAAAGGAGCGCGCAGAATACCTTGCGTATAGGCGCAAGCTGCGCGAAGAGCTTGAAGCGGAAGAAAGAGGGGCATTCATTAACCTTCAGATGGCATCAGAGGTAGGGCAGGCTAATCCCGCTCTCGCTCACAGAAGCGCAAAGAGACACAAGCGCAACAGCGGCGCGCCAGCTGCTGCCGAGGTGCTCGACAGCGAGCAAGTCGGCGAGGCCGGCAGGCGGAGCAAGAAGTCCAAGAAGCCGCTCTTATTCAAGAAGAAGGAAGCGACGCCGCCGCTTGCAGTGCCCGACTACCTCGCGCTTTCGCCCGAGGCGCGCAGCCGCGAGTGTCTCCGCGATGTGCGGCCCGCGTACTTCTACCCGGACCGGCCAGCCGTCGCGCTGGACGATTGGGACGAGGACGGCATCCCCGTGTTCGTGCCGACAATGGAGCAGTTTGTCGATTTCTACGCGTATATGTCCGCTATCGACGCGTGGGGCATGCGATCCGGCATCGTCAAGGTCATCCCGCCCAAGGAGTGGGTCGAGGCGCTGCCGTCCATCCGTCAGTCGGACATCGTCGCCGCCTCCGACGCGGCTGTGGCTGTGGCGTCGTTGGAGGCGGTGCGCATCCGCTCGGCGATTGAGCAGAACTTCACAATGGCCGGCAGCGGCGTGTGGCGTCAGACGAACGTCGTCAAGCCCGCCAAGGTGTGGAACGTCAAGATGTGGGCCGACGAGGCGGCCAAGGTTCACCGCCGCGGCCCAGAGATGAAGCACATGCAAGCCAAGCTCATCCACGGAGCTACTTACAGCAGCAGCAGCAGCAGCGGAGGCTGCGGAGGTGATGCGAGCGGGAATGCAGGTGGCACAGCCGCTGCCGCCGTATCAGGGGTAGCAGCGAATGGCGCAAAGGGCAAGAGCAGTCTCTTCCACGACGATATCATGGGCGCCAGGACGCGGAGCGGCAAGATCGTCGACGGCCAGCCGAGCAGGGCCGCGGCGCAGCATGCGGCCAACGAGGCGGCCAAGAGGAAGAAGCGGAAGCGCGAAGCGGCAGCTGCAGCTGTAGCAGCAGCTGCGGTTGCAGTCGAAAGTCAGGGCCAAGGCCCGAGTCATGGCGACATCTCTGTAGCTGTAGGTGGCGGCGCGGCATCGACGACGACGGCACACGCCGATATCGATCTCAGCATGCCAGCCCTGGAGTGCGTGCCGCACCCGGAAGGCGCTGCAGCTCAAGCAAAAGCGGGCGCTCCATCTGCCGCTTCGGATTGCTCGTCCGCGCCTGTGCTGGCCGTAGAGTGCGCATTGGCCGATGCGGAGCCTAGTGCCGGACAGGGTACGCTTTCAGAGGAGGGCAAGGCGGAGCCTGAAGGAGAGGCGCATACAGCCAGCTCAAATGCGGAAGTGGAAGCCGCACCGGCAGCAACATCAACAGCAGCGGACGGGAAGAAGGCTGTGCCTCGGCTGGTGTTTAGGAAGCGCTCGCCGAGTATGTCAGGCAAGCTGCAGCCGTCGGTCATGAGACCGCTCGAACTGAGCACTCAGCGCATGGTGCGGTCGCAGTCCATGCGTGGGGAGCAAAGCCTAGTGCTGCGCCAGCTGCGCAACCGCGACCTGCGCGGCGAGGAGATCGTGAAGACCCGCCGGAAGCGGCCTGAGTGGCACCCGAAGAAGCTCACCGAGGCGGACAAGACTCCCGCCGATGTCTGGGCCGCCTTTGATTACAAGGGCTGCTGGCTTCGCGAGGCTGTTCCCTCTGAGACTCCTGCAGAGGATGCCATGAAGGAGGATGATAATGAAGGCGAACATGTAGACGGGACGGCTGGCTTGGTGGTGCCAATTGCAAAAGACTGGACGCCGGAAATCTGCCGTCAGATCGAGGGCGAGTACTGGCGCGGCCTCAACGGCGGAGCAGCCCCAATGTACGGCGCGGATCAAGAGGGCACACTCTTCACGCCTCGCACAAAGAGCTGGAATGTCGGCTCGCTCGACAACATCCTCACCCGCTTGCGGCTCAAGGGCCGCCTGCCAGGCGTCACAACGCCCTACCTCTATCTCGGCATGTGGCGTGCGACGTTTGCGTGGCACGTGGAGGACATGGATCTCTATTCGATCAACTACATCCACTTTGGCGCACCCAAGCAGTGGTACGCGATCAGGCAGTTCGACCGCCAGCGCTTCGAAAACGTCATGAAGGCCGCCTTCCCACAGGATAGCGGCCGCTGCTCGCAGTTCATGCGCCACAAATCGTACCTCGCTAGCCCGACGTACCTGCGCGAGCGCGGCATCGAGCCGCTGCGTCTCGTTCACCATGCGCAGGAGTTCGTCATCACGTATCCGTTCGGCTACCACAGCGGTTACAACCTCGGCTTCAACTGCGCCGAGTCAGTCAACTTTGCCCTTGAGCCGTGGCTCGACATCGGCCGCAAGGCCAACTACTGTCACTGCGTTGACTACAGCGTACGTGTCAACGTCGATGCACTGATCGAGGAGAGCAACGAGATGGTCGAGGCTGAGGAGAACGCCGAGCGCCAGCGCCAGGAGGAGATCGCCCGGGCCAAAGCCGATGAAGCGTTGGCTGAGGCAGAAGCAGAAGCAGAGGATGTAAAACAGGCGGCCGAGGCCGCTGCCGCTGCTGCTGCTGCTGCTGCAGCTGGTGCTGCTTATGGCGAGGAGGCCGCCGCTGGCCCTCCTACCATCACGCATAAGGAGAAGCTGCGTTGGCAACGCGAGGGCGCCCGGATCCGTGACGAACGAGAGGCCATCATGAACGAGGCACGCACGGACGGTGACATGGATGAGCTGGCCCAACGTGCAATGGAGCTGCGGAAGGCCAATGCGGCGTACCAAGAGTTCCAAGTCAGGCTCTCGGTACAAAACAGGCTCAAGCGGCAGGAGGCGCAAGTGCTACGATACAAGAAGGCTGCCGACGACAAGGAGAGGATGCTCGCGGAGGAGCGGAGGAAGGCGCAAGAGGAGTGCCCTTGCGTCTTCTGTCTCTCGAGAAACACTTCGGACCTGGTTCCAGTCGCGCCTGCGCCTGACGTCGAGCTGCCTCCTGGCTCAACAGCCAAGATGGCACATCGTTCTTGCGTTCCTCTTATTCAGGAGACATACATTCCTGCCGACGGTCCTGATGTGGTTCTTGGCTTTGAGAATATTCCGAGAGATCGCTGGAAGCTTGTGAGTATGAATGCGGAGAGGTGTGTGAATGGGTCTTATTGACAGTTGGTTTGTTTGGAAGAAATGCTCGATCTGCAGAGTACAATACGGTTGCTGTGCGCAATGCACATACGGCAAGTGCACCGCGTCGGCGCACATCAGCTGCGCTTTCCCAGACGAAAGTACCGCCAGCGAAGACAAGGAGATGCCAACCTGGCTGTATCAGAGCCTGCCTGCCAACGAGGCGAAGGTCATGAATGGCAATGCCAAGAAGGCGAAGAAGTCTAAGCCTTCCGCGAAGCTGAAGACACCGGCTAGTGCTCAGGCGGTCATGGTTGCTGGCGCCCCTGCTCATTCCTCCGCGCCTGAGCAAGCGGCAGCGCAGGACTTGGCTTATGTAGCGCTTTCGGCAGCAGCATCCGTTGCAGCACCACCTTCTGCATTGGAACAAAGGTCTGCGCCTGTGCCATCGTCCATAGCAGCTCTACCTTCTGTGCCGGCCCAGGGGATTATAGCAGCAACTGCATCTGCGCAAGGATCGACCTCAGTCTCCACCTCGGCCGGTGTACTAACGACGATGCTGCAGGCTGAGCCATCCGCCGCGCCAACGCCTGGCGCCAATTCGCAGGATGCCAACACGTCTGAGCTGAAGGAGGATGGAGCGGAGCCTGACGAGGAGAACTACACCCACGTCTTCCTCTGCCCGACTCACAACCCGGTCTGGAAGAAAGTGGTCGCTGAACGCCGGGCCGCCAAAAAGCTCGAAGATAACAGACAGCGAGTGCTCGCACTGCTCCCGGGTACGCTTGTTAAGTATCGTTCCAAGAGTGGAGGAGTCTGGCAGGCCGCTTTGATCGAGATCGTCGACAAGGAGGGCAGCGATGGCGAAGTCATCGTCAGCGAGCACTGCGGTCCCACCAGAGTACCGTGGTCGCGCATCATCTTCCCTGAGGCAGAGCGTGCAGCTTCGAAGCGTAAGGACTCTGTGGCATCAGGGATCGCTGGCCACGAACAAGCCCACGTTCACAAACGGATCAAAATTGTGTCGCATGGAGGACAAAGCGGCTCACCCAGTCACACTGCTCTGCAGTCGCCTGGCAGTGCAACCACCCCGCAGCCATCAGCATTAACATCAACATCAACATCGGGCCGGATGGAATCCAGCTCAAACATCCCTGTTCTTGCAGCAAACGCTGCACAATTTACACCTGGTGCATTGCCGCCACAACTGGGCGTTGCTCCCGCCGGTCTCGTTCCGCCCACAACGATGGCACATCGCACAACAAACACGATGAACGGCGAATCAACGGCTGGCAACTACTCCATCTCATATCCGCTATATGGGCCGAATCCAATGGCGCAAATGGCTCAGCTTACGCAGGGGCACCAAACTCACACCGCTTCGAGCTCATGGCACCCCGAAATGGCCGGTCTTCAATCCACTTCGACTGTACTGTCTCAGGCGCCTGTTGTCCCGCAAGTACCCGGATTGTTCCCAAACAGCATGAACAACGCATTCTACCACACTCAGCTCCAGCGGGCCCAAGTCTTACCCTCTACAGCCCATCTGCCGTCCGCAACTCCACAGCTGCAAAGTCCCGCCGGCGAGGGGCCATCCGGAAGCAGCACTGCCTGATACTCGCTCGCATTTCACATCATTGAAGTATAGCAAAATAGCACGCCAAATATGCATTACGATCTGCAGGATGACTCCCAGAATCAGATTTTAATGTGTCAGACTTGCTCCAAACTTCCGATGAATGCGGCACTCAAGGCGGTGAGGCCGAGCATGAAGACTTGTAGCAGGTTCGCCATGGCGAAGTGTGTAATTGTCTGCCCGATCTCCAACCAACTACCAGTGTCCCGGACCGCATAGAGGAAATTCAGCGCGAGGACGTCTGTAGCGATGCAAGCAGACAGAACCAAGGGTGACGCATCGGCGAGCCCTAACCCTGCGATCTGTACAAAATCACCAGTTGTGTCCTGCGCTTTTGCTTCAACTGCCTTGCTCTTCTGTGCTTTGTTGGCCTGTGGCGACACGCAGAGTACTTGGAAGGCGGAGCACAGAATCAAGAAGGGGACCATGATCTTGAGGATGAGAAGTGCCGCCATCAAAAAGGGGCTGAAGACAGGTACCAAGCGGTAAACGGGCGACAGGTAGAACGAGGATATCGAAGCGATATTCCCTGTCCGGGGAAGAAAGATGGTCAAAAACCTGCTTAACATTCTTTGCATCACAACGAAACTCACCTGTGCCAAAGAATGCGACGTGCAAGAAGAACAAAAAGAAGAGGGCGATTCGCACATCTTCCTTTGCAAGCAGCCGCGGTCCCCTGCTACCGCCACTTGTACCGGCTCTCTCAGCATACAGGAGGCCTTCTATTCTCGTCCAAGCTGCGAGGAGAAGGGCGAAGGAGCCAAAGAAGAGGGCTTCGTCTCGTATCGATAGCAGAATGAAAAGGGGCGCAAAAGCAAATATCGTAATCGCAATACGCTGCACTGGCGGCTGGTGGTTGCCGGATTTTTTGTCCACACGGAGCCCATAAGCGAAAGGGAAAGTTAGGCAGAAAGCTGACAAGGATCAAAGAGGAAGGTTCGGTCAGTATGGGAAGGGAATACGATGTGCAAAAAGGGTAGGTCAGGTCTCACCAAGGACCAGCCAGCCGCCGACTTGGCTGGCTAAAGGCAGGCCACGCTTCGATTGGAGGCTGTACGCAGAGACGGTTGTTACGATCGTTGCGGCACATAGCACTCCAAGCTCAATTTGAATCGTGCGTACGGTCCGTTGCAACCCTTCAGCGCTTGTGCCGCATCCAAGCAACGCATTTGCGTTGCTCAAGACATACATGCCGCCCATCAAGAATGCCATGCCGGTAATAATGCTTGCGCAAAGAAGTGACCACGTCCTCCATAAGTTGTACTACCGAAAGATCAAACCATTATAGCTTACTCACAGAACTTGTATGCTTTCTTCTTTGTCAAGACTGTTAACGGTGAACATACCATTAAGAAAGCAGACAGCCATCCAGGCGAGGATGGTTTTGGGGTGTTCCTGGCGCATGGGCTTAGTGATGCCGACTATTGGCCACACGGTTCCAAGTACGAGAAACCCAATGGTCCATGCCACCCTGTTGAGGTATCCGACGACGATGAGCTCCAAAAGGGCGAGAGAGCAAATGATGTAGGCTAGCAGTCCGCCCACTGTCGCTCCACCTTCCTTGTTCTCAGCTGGACCCGGAACAGCTTGGGTGCTAGTAGTCGGATTTCGACTTGCGCGCCAAGCGGCAACAAAAACCGCGCGTTCATCGATAACTCGTGTCCAGAATAACGCTGGAAAGACTGCGTACACGTAGTAAGTGAGTGGCGAGCCTTCTGCAGTAAATTTCGCACATAGTGCCCCAAATATTGGTACGCAGATAAGCTTCCCAAGGCTGAGGACGCTCGGGTCAGAACCAGAGCCTTGAGGTCTGTACAAAGCAAGGGTGGGATGCTCGGGGGAGAGAAAGTATCGCTGCAGAAGGAAGGAAATGCCGTAGAGAATCGAGCCCAAGTAGCCGAGGGTGATGATGGTGCAGAGAAGCAGCCAGTCATACGTCTGCAAGTATCTGTTGCCTTCTAAAGCGAGTCGGAAGAGCTCATCGATACGCTCGACCGCTTCATGTAAATCACCGATGGCGACAAGATATTTGGCTTCGTGAACAAGTTGTTCGCCGGGCAGGTCATCCTCTTCGTCCTTGTCCAACGATTCAAATGGGATGTAATTGATCATGCGCTTTGAGCGTGCCTCTGTGGATGCATGGGAATAGCAACATTGGAACCATCAGAGGATAAGAAACTCGAAAGGAGTAATGACCCGCAAACTCGCCATGCTTTGTGCGGTACACTTCGAGTACCTGTAGCGTGTTCGCCAACAAAGCTCGGACGATGTGCTCATCGCTGACGTTCAGGTAAGGCAATGGAAGGTGGCCTTCCAAGTTGCCGGGAAATGGGGCACCTATGAGCGATGCCTGACAATAGCAAGATGGATCGGAGAGGAGGGATAGTCAACAGAAGTGACGCATCACCAGTACCATTTCGCAACAAGCTCACAATCAAAGACGCTACATCCGCTTGATCTACGTCGTTGCGTTTGACGTCACCCACCACCCAGTGGCTGTAGTACGCATCTTGCTCCGCATCAGCCTTCCTCATCTGTCTCTGTTTGTCGGCTGCATCGAGCTTCGTTGGGCGTGCCACGCCAGATCCCCACGCGATGAGTGGCGTGCGCGTGTTGTCCGGGTCTCCATCGCCGTGGTTGCCTTTGGTGCTCATGCCATGGTCGGCGGTGAAGACGTACGCCGTCCTATTGTCGTGGTCATAGAATTCATCGAAGAGCGCTTCAACCCGCGCGGCAATGGCATCGACGACGATTGTGTTGCCGACGTACTCTGTCGAATGTGGACGGTAGGTGTGTCCTGTTGTGTCAAGACCGAGAAGATGAAGGAAGAAAATTGTGCCAGGTTGGTGCAGGCGCTCCTTCAATTGTTTGTCAGCTTGGGCGTGGGAGAAGAGCTCTTCTAGGTGACCAAGCACCCAGAGGTCCAGGTTTGTCGCATCTGCACGCACGCAAGGCAGTTACACCGCTCTTAGAAATCAGAACGATTCAGGAGTGCAAGTCCCTCACCCTTAGTAAAGTCCTCCTCATCCTCGCTGTAAGTTTCCATCCATACCCTCTCCTTTGCCACACCTTTGGCAAACATTGGCAAAATATCCGGGCTACCGAACGCCCACGTCTGCGTACTCTGATTGAAGACTGAATCAAATTGAACCGGATTGAGCTTCCAGCCTTTGGTGACGGCGCTGACGTCCTCGTACATTCCGGCGATCAGAGCAACGTGCCCCGGCCGCGACTCAGTTGGTACGCGCGTGTGCGACACGCCAAATGGACCTCGATTGATTGCAACATGGTGCAGGAACGGAGCAGCGGGATGTAATGTTCCTTGTAAAGTTTTGAGCGTTTCGCTGTTCGCATCTCCAAAAGCGATCGCAGTATCGTTCTTGAACGGTGAAAGGGCACTGTTGTACTGAAGGTTGAAGTCTCCCGCCTCTCCGTTGTTGGACTGTCGCAAAAGGTCTTGTTGCGCCCAAGCAGGCAACATGTGCCATGGGTGTTTCTTGAACAAAGTGTCGGCTCTAAGTCCGTCGCCGACGATGAGGACTAGCCGGTCGGCAGGGGACTTCCACTGCCTATATCGCTCTAGGCCCATGAATCCGCCCATTTGAACTTCTTCCATTTCTAATGCTTTCTGCTCCTGTTTGCCTTCTGCGCCAAGCTCGGAGAGTGTAGTTTGAGACGATGAATCGTGATCGTGCCAAAGTGAGCTTTCATTTTTCTTTCCTTGACCATAATTCAAAGCTTCTAGCCCTTCCTGAAGTTCTGCCTCGACTTCTTCTCCCTTTTCGAAAATGAGAGGTCGCCCATCTTGCAACGGCATTGGAGCTGACGGATGCTTGAAGCTGAGGACAGGCACCATAGCCAACTCCAATACCCCGCCGGCTTTTTCATATTCGGCGAGTGATGAGGGTGCTATGATGTAAGTGTCATTCAAGGTGAAACGACGAATCGGGTGCACAACAGGGGAGGTAAAGTATATGTCGCATACGGAGTAAGTGTAGAGAAGGTGAAAGAGGAAGGAAATGACCATGAGGGAGCGTGTCGAATGCAACCAGCTTGTTCGAATGGGATGCGCCCCGTCCGTCTTTGACGACATTGTGGAGATGAAGCCCAGCCCAGCTGGCTCTTGATTCTTATTCGTAATCGAAAACAGCAAATGAGGGACGCTGGCTTGTGGAAATCAACGGACAAGCAACATAGACAGATTCACGTGCTTCAACAGCGCTTGGTCCTCTCTCGGCGGCGGACACCGGTGCCTTTCGACACGGTCATGCGCTGCTGAGAACCCACAATTGATGAACAATCCGTGGGGCGTCCTGATCCACAAGCCGTCAAGGAGTCCTTGTACATCATCGACCTTGTCTCCGGAGGCTTGGACCACGGAAGGAATGTAGAGAATCTGGAGTACTGGACGGTGAACGGTTGTTGAGCGAAACGTGTTGATCTCGTTCTTCATGCGGCACTCCGCGCTCAGCAAGGTGCAAAAGGGAGAGAGCACAAACCAACAACGAAGCCATTATATAAGCAATTTGTCACACGTGGCCCATGCACCACGACAACTTTCGCTCGTGTTCGCTAACCATCAACTGAGCATGTTCCATCAGTCAACCTTGCATGCTTAAAGGTGACCTGTGCCTCATCTAACTTTCCGACACCTCCCGACAAGGGGGTCATCTAGCAAGATAAATGGTTAGTGAATCCCAGTGAGCGAGTCACATTTGAGTCAAAATGCCGCTTAATTACTCGAAATGGGACAACCTTGAGCTCAGCGACGATTCCGACGTCGAGGTCCACCCGAATGTGGACAAGCGCTCCTTCATCCGCTGGAAGCAGCGCGACATTCATGAGAAGCGCGACTTGCGTAAGCATGAGCTCGAAAGTCTCAAGCTTGAGCTTTCAATCAACGAGAAACTGGTTCCGATGCTGAATGAAGTATGTGCACGGCAGCCTTGTTGATGGAAACTGTTCTTCTCATACTGCGTACCCTCTTCCTGTACTCATCCAGATTGTCGCCTCCACAAGTTCCGAAGGGCATGCATTCTTCTCGCGCCGTACTGCACAGCTGACGGCTGGCCGTGCAGAGAGGGGAAACAAGGATGGTCCGGACGGTCCGACGCCAGACGACATGATCATTTCTCTACTGCTGCAGATCAACGAAGAGGATGGTGTCAAAGGCAAGCAATCTGCAGAGCTGGACGAGGCGTTAGTATCCTCGCTAAAGGGACACTTGGGAAAGCTGGAAGAGAGGACAAAGCAGGTCAAGGAGCAGATCGCACAGATGGAAGAGGAGGACAAAAAGAAAATCACGAGCGATTCGATTCGAGAAGGGTGGAGTGCAGGGTATGTCGCAAAAGCCGAGCTAGAGCCGCCACAATCGGCCCCCTCCGGCTCCAAGAAGAAGGCCAAAAATTCCACACAATCGGGAATAAAGACGATCGAGACGATCAACAGTCCGTCCACTAAGGCGGACGCAGAAGTCAATAGCGGAGAGAGCAGCGAGGACGACGATGACGAGATCCCAGCAGCGACGAGTGCGATGCTTCAATTCGCCTCCTTACCCTCTGCGATCCCCCCGTCCATCCCTTATACTGCGCAGAGCCTCCCGGGTACCTTTATCCCATCGCGGCATCTGAACACGACGGCGTTTGAGAAGGCGTATGTGTTCCTGGGCGAGCACCGGGAGTTGCTGCGTCCCGGAACAGATGGAGGCGATGGGTCGACGACGGACGCGCTGCTCGTCGAGGCTTTCCAGGCGGAGCAAAAGGAGCAGAAGGATAAGGCGAGAAAGTGCGTGGAGAAGGCGCTGCTCGTGCAGTACTGTCAGAAGCTAGGCAAGGACGGTGTAAGTCTGTTTTTCAAGAAGTGAGTACCATCCGCCTGCCCCGAAGGAGCGTGGCATCTGCTGATCCAACCCTTGGTCCCTTGATGTACCCTTCCATCAGGATGGTTGCAGCAGACGGCAAGGCAGCGCTTGTCTTCCTGAACGACGTTCTTTCGACCTACGTGCGCATCGCAACGCGCTGCGCTGAGCTGGCCCAGCGGGAATCCAGCTCCGATGGTGCAGCGGGCGAGGAGCAGATCCAGCTCGTGGCGGAAGACCCAAGCACGACGATCACATTTGAAGTGCCGGACGGCCCACCGCCGGAGCACATCACGCTTGAAGGCGAAGGGCTTGAGGGCGTTTCAATCGATGCGGTGCGCGATCACCTGCAGCGCCGCTGGGACTTGTTCTGCTCCTTCCCCGACGAATTCCGCGAGGCGCTCAAGACGAAAGAACTAGATCAGGTCAACAAGGCGCTCGGTAAGATGAAAGTCGACGAGGCGGAGAGACTTGTCGGCCTCCTGGACGAAGCGGGCATCCTCAGCTTTAGCAGCACCGAGATCAGGGACGAGACGGGCAAAGCATAATTGTGCCGATGTGATCATTCGCTTCCTCTTCATTTGAAGTTTACACAGCGTAATCGGTGCGCATGGAGCACTCTGTCTTCAGCAGCGCGGGTGATCTTTGCAATTCATACAAAGTGTCTGGGAACATACATGCCAGAGCTTTCTGCACAGGTACAAGTACACGGAGGAGTGCATTCGAGAAACGTCGAGACTAAATATGCGTTCTCGTATTGTGCGCGGGAGGAACTGAACGAAGATTCAATGTGTGTGTACCAATCGATCAAGCGGTCAGCTGCCACTGGCGCTACCGAGCCTGCGCGTGACATTGACGTCCTCATTGACTATGTCGCTTTGTTCGAGCTGCGCAGGGGTCGACTCTTGTGCAACGAGTAGACGGCGGCGCTCGTCCTCGTCGTCCTGCGCAGCCTCCGCCTCGGTGTGGCTGCTTCGCAGCGCGACGGACTTGCTCCTGCGCGCAGTGTTCCCGTCTGCATCGCCAGCAGCGGCAGTCGCAGCGGCGGCGGCTTCCTGCTCTTCACTCGGCAGTGCGATTTGGCCCTCGCGGCGCCCACCGAGCCTCGTCCAGGCGATGCTGGTGACGTACGAGGTGGTGAGCAGCGCGATGGCCAGGACGAGCGCTGCAAAGATCTCCGGCGGACGGTCCAACGCTTTGGACGGCGGTGGCGGGGACGGCGGAGAACTCGTGTCGGGCCCGTTGTTAGAGCCGGTTGGAGGGGGAAGCACGCCATCAGGGATACTGTCGCTCTTCGATGGCGCAGGACCGCTGTTGAAAAGGATTGAGATGTACAAGTAGACCGCCGCTGCGAACCACGCAAAGTCTGTCGTGGCGAAAATCCACATACTGGCAAGCGCGCTGGTGCTGGTGACGACGGCGAACGTGGGCCAGACGCTCTTGTTGAGCGCGCGCTTGCCCTCGCCGTAGTCGAAGCCGACGGCCATAAAGAGCTGCTGCCATACGTCGACGTGGAAGAGCACGACGAGGAAGAGCTTGAGGGGGAGGTGGACGCATATCCACTCGAAGGGGCGGTGCTTGATCGTCGGCCGGATGACTGGGTCGCTACGCCGAACCTGGATGTACAGCACGCTCGACAGGAGGCCGAGAGCTGCGAGTCCCAGCAAGACCGTGGAGGCGATGCTCGTCGCGTGCGTGTTTAGTAGCCACAGTGGGACCCAGATGGCAAGCATGAGGTTGGCAAATGCGAGACGGAGGCCGACGCCGGCGGAGATGAGTGTCTGTGCCCATGCGGCAAAATATCAGGATCAGCGGTCAGCGGTTTGCGGGACGGCGGCCCAGCGCATCTGGAAAGAAGGCTGGCTCACCTGTGCACGTACGCTGCTGGTGGAGAGGGTGATATACAGAGCGAACCCGATCTGGGCAAAGTATATGGCGGCCCAGTAAATGAGGAGCAGGCTGTCGCGCGGGGCGATGTAGGTCCAGTGCCTTGCGCTGATGTCAGAGATGCATGGGCGGGCGATGAACATGCCTATTGCGAGCGCGCCGAGGGAGACAAGGAAGGAGAGCGGGGAGAGGATCTGGACGCGGATGAGGTGCTTAAGGCGCCTGTCGAACACGGGCGGTGGCCGGCTCGCCATGGCGGGTGGTTGGCGGTGGGTGCTGCGCGTGCGAAGAGACGGAATGAGACTGCAAACGAGAGACTCGAGTCAATTGCAACGGGCGCGAGTCGATGGTGGCGAGCGTGAGCTGGATGCTGCATGGCCTAGAGGGGGCGAGGCAAAGATTCATGAAGGGGAAGGCCGTTTGGGAGAGAAGATAAGCTGAACATGCGCTGTTAGTTGTATGGCAACAACCACGATACTATGCAAGCACAGTTGTGCAGAAACCAATTGACGACGAACGTGCGTCATTGGGCAGATGTCCAATTTGACTGGGCTCTCTCGGCCGAAAACCAGAGAACAACCCTATTCTAGGGGCAGCATCACGACATACCAACGCCGCGCCTCTTTAGCAGCGATCGGAATGTATGTATTTATATTTATTTGTATGTATGGAAAGCAGTATATTGGCGGAATGAGTTCATTATGGCGGACCCAAGCTGTGTGCAGGCCATGGGATCCCAGAAGGCACCAAAAAGAAATTCCCAGTTTCCCGAGAAACCCCCGGAATTCCAATACCGGACCCTCATCAGGCTGCCTGCACTCAAAGTGCGCTCACGCAGCCTCCTGATCGGCTGCAGCTAACCTATGAGAAACCATCGCCCCTGCAGGCGTAGAACGAGGTTCCTCGGATGAATGAGCGGTGGCCTAGCATCAGCAACGCTGTCTACCCGCTGTCGAGAAGGTGCAAGGGAGCGTCTGGTAGTGCGAATGGACGTGGAGTGAGTCAGAGCGCGGGCGCAGCGACCGCAGCCAACCAGCCTCCACCCCTCCCAGTTCTCTCTCGGTCTGCAACCGGAGCAAAGAGATGGTCGCAGCTCGCTCCCAAGACACTGCCGGCGCAGCTGCCGCTTCGTCCTCGTTCTCGTCTTCGGCGTGGCGCCGCTTCGACTTCTACGACACCAAGACGGTGCGAGACGTGGGCGACTTTGGTTCCGCTCCGCTCGCCATCGTCGGGCAAGCTGGCAGCAGCATCAAGGATATTGCTGCAGTCTGCGCCTGTCGCTTTCGTCCGCCCATAGATGCTGCTGCTGTTGGTGCAGCTGCATGCGTTGGAGATAGGCAAAGGGCAGCGCGAGACGGTCCTGTTGGTCGGGGAATAGCCAACGGCAAGGGTGCGGGAAAGGCCAATGGCAGCTTGGTCGAGGCGCACGAGCAGGCATCAGCGACAGGTCCATTGGCCGGCGGCAGCGTCCTAATCGGCTTCACGACCGGCAAGTTGAGCATCCTGGATCCTGCGCGCTACGTCACTCTCGCCTCATTCTATGCTTTTGGCGCGGATCCGCACGCTGACGACGTGGAGGTCGACGCCGACGGCTACCGAATCGCGGGCCAGGCGCCAGGGCTCGTGTCGGGCGGCAGAATTACACACATCTCCACGGATTCGGTAGGGCGTCTGATCACGGTAGGCGAAGAGGAAGGTGCGCGCTTCCCAATCCTGCGAATATGGAACATCCTAGAGGCTGGCAGCAGCGCGTCCGATCGTCCCAACCAGCTTATGCGAGCACATCCGACGCAGCACGACGCATCGACTTCACGCGCATGGACCCCGCGCCTGCTCGCAGAAGCCAAGGTGCAGCACGGAGCGCGGCCGACTCCCGTCGCTTGCGTCGCGCATACGCCGAGCCTCAGCTTCCTCAGCATCGGGCTCGCAGACGGCACAGTCCTGCTGATGCGGGATGTGGACGATGCGCTGAAGAGCGCGTCTCCCGAGCCGCTTGCGTCTTCATCAGGGCCGCTGGCGCAGCATCCGGCTCAAAGCACAGGCATACAAGTTCCCGCGAACGTTGTGGCACTGCCGAAATTCAAGGTCATCCTGCAGCAGCCGACGCGCGAGAAGGCCGCGCCGCTGGAACCCCTGACCGGTTTGGCAATGAGCAGCCATGCTGAATATCCTGTAGCCGGTACTGCGGCCCACAGGCCAGGTGCAAGAGGCGTTAATGCCAGAGGAGGAGCGGGCGTGACATTGGCATCGGCATCTGCAGCTAATGGCGCCGGGCCTGGAGCTCGAAGACCCGGCGTGAGGTCGTCGGAGCGTAAGGCCGCCTTACCCGCAAAGGCAGCAGGTGGGCAGGGGTCAGGACCAGGCGCAAGGTCATCAGCGCGTTCCAAGGCATCTCCGTACCAATTGCGCGGGTCTCCCAACCAGGCATCGTCATCCTCGCCTCCCGTGTCGTCCTCGGTCTACCTCTTCATCGTCACGCCGACGCGGCTCCTGCGCTACGTCGTCATTGGCACCGGCGCCGGTTCCACGCCGAGCGTCGTTGATGACGTCGGCTGCGCCCTGGGCTGTGCTGCCGTCGTGCCCTCCACTCTGGCTGTCGCTCCTGCTCCCGGCCCAAGCATCGCTGGCGGGAGCACGCTGTCGGTACCGCTTACCGGCGGGGTCGCGTCCGGTGCCGGATCCGGGGCCGCAGGTGCGGAAGCGGCAGGCTTGGCAGGTAAGATCGTTCTCGCGCGGGACGAAGCGATCTATCTGGCCGGGAGCGAGGGGCGGGAGGCGTGTCTTGCACTCGAGGGTGCAAAAGCGCAGGTCAAGCTCGTTGCTGATGACAATGCGCTGGCATCAGCTGATGGCAGCGGCGGCGGAGCGGCTGCCGCCAGCCATCACCTCATTCTCATATCGCCGCCCGTTCCCGCTTCGGCGGTCGAAGGCAATCCCAGTTTGGCAGGCTTACAGGGAAAGGACGTGGCAAGAGTGACCATCTTCGACCTCGACAACAAGTTGATCGCGTACTCGGGCATGTTCGCAGGTGGCGTCCGGCACGTGTGGATCGAGTCATCCGCCGAGCCCTCGGCGTCCTGCGCGCGCATCTGTGTCCTGAGCGACGATGGCGTTCTCACGCGCTTGAACGAGAAGCCGCTGCGCTCCAAGATCGAGATCCTCTACCGCAAGAACCTCTTTCTCCTCGCCATTGGGCTCGCAAGGAGCTACCAGGTCGCCTTGTTGCACGCTGGCGGTGTCGGCTACACCACCGTTGCTGGAGGCGAAGCGGCGGCTGTCGAAAGGGCAAGAGCGATCGACCCGATCTTGGCTAGCATCCATCGCAATTACGCTGAGCACCTCTACTCCAAAGGTGACTTTGATGCTGCTGTCAACCAGTTCGTCAAAACAATCGGCTGGACCCAGCCGAGCTATGTCATTCGCAAGGTGAGTGATCTTCTCGCACCGGCTTGTCGCACGTGCCATGATAGGATCTCACGTTGACCTACGATCACTCTCCGTTCCGCGTTCTCTCACAGTTTCTGGACGCGCAACGCATCACGAATCTTACGGAATATCTGCAGGAGCTCCACACTTGCGGCCTCGCTAATTCGGACCACACGACCCTGCTGCTGAATTGCTATACGAAGCTCAAGGATGTTGCTGCGCTGGATACTTTTATCCGCCGGCCTTCAACGCTCGCGAGTGGTGAGGACGACAAGCGCAGGAAACACTCGAAGAGCGGGTCAGGGGCCAGAGACGCTGTGAATGCCGACGCAGAAGCAGACAGCGACGAAGGCGAGGAAGAGGAGGATGATTTGAACGCCGAACGGGAGCAGCTGCCTTTTGACCTGGACACTGCGATCAGAGTGTGCAGGCAAGGTGGCTTCTTTTCGCATGCATCATACTTGGCGAAGCGTTATGAGGTTCACGACGAGTACATGCGCATTCAGGTGGAGGACACGCAGAACTTTGACGATGCACTGCTCTATATTCGTGAATCCTCGCCGGAAACAGTAAGTTCGCCCTTGCTGACTTGGTGCGCCCCTTGGTTGCAATTGACGCGATTGGCCATATCTCGCAGGCTGAGCGCATGCTGAAAGAGTATGGGAGAATTCTGTTGGTAAATCTGCCAGAGGCAACCACCACACTTCTCATTGAGCTTTGCTCTGGGCACTTTCGAAAGGGCTTCATTCCGAACGCCTTGCCGAGCGATAAGCCCGCTGCTCAGCCCGGGACAGCATCGTCCGCAGCGCAGTACCTCTCGTCGTACCTGCACGTCGCCAACTACCTGCGCAGCAGCCGCTCAGCAACCGCGACCAATGACAGAGCCAAAGCGGGCGTCAGTGTCGCGCCACAGTCAGCGCCACTAACTTACGACCCTCCTCCCCCTCAGTCATTCTTTGCTCATTTTGCGCGAAATCCCGCCGAATTCATGCTCTTCCTCGAATCTGTTGCTCTACTTCGTTTCGGCCAACAAGTCGACATGGGAGCTGCTCCGCCGTTGCGACGCAGTGCATCGCAGAGAGACTTACTCGCCGGCGCCGACCTGGAAGAAACCCTTGGCTATGAAAGCGAAGAGACAAAGGCCCAACGAGCTATTTGGAACACCCTCCTAGAGCTGTACCTCAGACCGTCAGAAGCAGACGAAGATGGTGTGACAGACACGACACGGCGGAAAAAGGCGCTGCGCCTTTTGGAACAGCATGCCAATCTTCCATACGACGTCACACGCGCTTTGCTGCTATGCGCAACGCACGACTTTGCCGATGGCGAGGTCTACCTTTTCGAGCGACTGGGCCTTCATGAAGACATCATCCATTTCTGGATCTCACGAAGGGAGCTCAATGTGGGGGAGGAAGACGCGCATGCAAAGCTGATGGACGCATTGAACACCTTCGGGTCCGAAAAGCCGGAGCTGTACCCTGCTGTCCTGCGACATATCGTGTCCTCAGACGCTTTCCTCGCCGATCATGCCAACGATGTCATGCACATTTTGCGATACATCGAAGATGAAAAGCTCATGAGTCCCTTGGAAGTTGTGCAGACCCTCTCGCGTACACCTGCAGCCAGCGTCGGTCTCGTACGAGACTACCTCATCCGAGCCATTGTTAGCGAGCGCGAAGAAATTGACTCCGTGCGTACATCCCAGAGCTTTCACATATAGGTTACGATATTGACGCTGTATTCGCTCTTCAGGATTTGCGACTCATCGAGTCATACCGCGCAGAGACGGCAAAGAAGCAAGCCGAGGTGGCGGCTCTGACCAACGAGGATCAACCTCGCGTGTTCCAAGTCACGACATGCGCTGCGTGCGGCGGGCCCCTCGACCTGCCGAGCGTACACTTCATGTGCAAGCATAGCTACCACCAACGCTGCATCATTGAGAATGAGGCCGAGTGCCCATCCTGCGCAAGGGCGCATGCGACGGTCCGCGAAATCCGCAGGGTGAACCAGATGGCAGCAGATCGTCACGACTTGTGAGTGTAATCGATCGAGTCGGCTGACGCGATGCAACTTCTCCACACTGACATGAATTTGGGTCACGTAGATTCTTGCGAGAAGTGGAGGAAGCGGATGATGGCTTTGCTGCCACGGCACGTATGTTTTCGAAGGGTTTGCTTAGCCTGCAGGCTCCAGAATAGAACCATAGCATCATTGCCATTTAGTCTATCTCAGGTCTTGACTCCTACCCTGTTGTCTGTTGATTGGCGTCACGCATCGTCTGTATCCACTTCGGTGTGCACAGCTATGTACGCGCCCCGACTTCGTTCTTCGCGCTCCCCAAAAGCTTCCGACACATCGTTGATCGACACGCCAGAAAGTTCCGGAAGGCGGAAGTAAGTGAAGATCCACGCGAGGACTGCAATGGCAGAGAACAGCCAGAAGGACCCCGCGGCGGTGATCAGTCGGACAATGTCGAGGTACGTTGCTGAGATGAGCAGGTTTGCGATCCAGTTGACTGCTGTTGCACAGCCTCCACCGAGCGATCGGACCGGAGAGCTGAAGACCTCAGATTGGACGAGCCACTGCAAGAGTGTGCCAGGCTCCCATGAGTGGCGCTCTTGCACATCAAGCGGAGCATCGTCGACACTCACCGGGACGATGCCGAGACCGAGAGCGTAGAAAAGGGTAAATAAGACCATCTGTGGCGATGGGGTGACCAGAGATCAACGAGAGACTCCTTAGGGACGCGGGTGTGTGTGGCAGGAGAGAGCAGGAGTACTTACAGCAGCAAGGCTGACGTACGCCCAACCTTGGACGCCCTCGGGGTCACCAGAGGCGCCGCTACCAGCACCAGCTGTGGGCTGAAACCCGTCAGTGACGTCCTCCATGCGGATCAGACTGAAGCTGCCAGCAAGCAGCATGAGCGAGACCGCTGCCGCAGCCGTCGTCCACAGCAAGAGCTTCCGCCGTCCAAGACTATCGACCAGGCGCATGGCTCCAATCGTGCCGACCATATTTGCCACTGCGATCCCGATCGCCGTTGCGTTTGGATTCTTGGAGAAGCCAGCCATGAGCAGGAGTCGGCCGGAGAAATACATGAGCGAGTTGAAGCCACAAGCTTGTTGGAAGAATTGAAGGCCACAAGCTAGGATCAACGCTTTGCGGTTGGCTTTGTCTTTAAGCAGGAGCTCAAATTTTCCTTTGGCCTTCTCGGCTGCACCAGAAACGTTGGGCAAGCGGGCGGCAGGCAATTGCAGGCGGCTGCTGATAACTTGTCGTACGACGCTTGTTGTAGGTGAGGGGGCAACCGCTGCTACCTCTGCGTCTATTCGCGCTGCGGCTCGGGCAGCCATCGCCTCATACGCTGTGTCGGATGAAAAACTGCGCTGGATACGCTTGATCTGCTCGTCAACCTGCGCAAAGCTCGCTTCAGGGTAGATCTTCTGCAGGACCTTGCGCGCGCCAGAAATGCGCCCCTTGGAGACGAGCCAGCGTGGCGACTCATCGAGTGCAAAGAGGCCGAGTAACTGGACGATGGCTGGGACCGCGCCTGAGAGGACCATCCAGCGCCATCCGTGAGGCGCGTTGTAGAATATCGCATCCAAAGCGTACGCTAGCACTTGGCCACCAGTGATCAGCAGCGAGTTGAGTCCCACGAGACGGCCTCGAATTGAGGTAGGGGCGCTGTTCGTTGGAACATCTTGTCAGATGCAAGTGGCTGCGCTTCTCGAAGACTATCTTTTCAGCTGCAACTCAACTCACACTTCTGCGAGATACGTCGGCGTGACCATGCTGGCCATGCCTACCGCGAGACCTTGTATGAGTCGGCCCAGGACGAGCTCCCGGACCACCTGACTGGCCCCTTGCTCGAGACTTCCCAGCAAGAAGCACACAGCTGCTGTGATCATGACGCTTTTCCTCCCAAGCCAGTCAGAAAGACTACTTGCACCGATGCTACCGACGATGGCACCAATAGTCGTGGCACTTACGATCAGCTCTTGCTCTCCGGAGCTGAGGGTGTGACCAAGATCACCACGAATTGCGACGAGCATTCCTGATGCGACCCCAGTCTACAAGAGAGTGTCAGAAGAGTGAGTAAATCAGCTCGCACATGCAAATTTCTTAATTCGAGGCCGCTTTTCCTGGCCGGCCTCACATCCATGCCGAATTGTAACCCGCTGAGACAGGCGATCAATGCAAGTCGGCCGAGGTAAGGGGAGAACCCTCCGGCAGACTCGCCGAGGAAGTCATCGTCATCACCCAGCGCATCCTGCTCTCTACATTCTTCATCTTCCACGTGCGGGTGCCGGTCCAGTGCCCCAGGAGTGATAGGGACGGTGTGCATGCTCGCGTCGCTCTTGGCTGATGACGGCTGTTTACTGGGAAGCAGTTCAATCGCGTCCTGCATGCCGGCTCCGCTCATAGAAGGCATCTGAGCCAGTCTTAGACGGCGAGCATATATGCATGATCCCCCAGGGAAGGATGCATCGTTCGAACACACCACCTGCGTGCGACAGGTGTGAACGCTGATCCTATCTGCAACAGAGGTCCATCCTCGAGGAAGCCAGAAGCGTCGTGAGATTCACTTCGATTGCTCTTGATGAAGCGGTGCGTGGTATCATTTCTTTTTCGGTGCCCATTCTATTAAATAAAAGAAATAACAGGTGCTTAGGCAAGATCGATCTAACCATTCTTGATAAACTTTGGTATTCTTGAAATCCCTCGCCTGTTCTTTTTCTCCCTTCTACCTCTCCCACTCCAGCCACCATCCCCAGCTCCCTCTGCTTCTCGTGGGAAAAAGACCCTGGGTTGGAGTCTCCCAGGTCCATCTGCGGCCTGCGCAAAACTCAAGGCATACGCAGTGTAGTCTCAGAAATCTAGCATCAAAACAAGGTGGATGAAGCAGGCGAGTGTTGACGGTCTACAATGGGCAGCAATCAGCCAGTCTGTATGCAGAAAGTAGCCAGCTCACACACACACATATATATATATATGGAACGTGAATTCGTGTCCATCCATTCAGGATGCTGCCGCTTGAGTATTGAAGTAAATCGACCGTCGTACTGAATCGTAACCGTAGCTGACCCTCCGCCTCTATTCAAAGTAACAACGTCATATAGCCCTACCTCTCCGCGCATCGAGCTGCAAGATGTCGGCTTCGAGAAGCAACGCGCCTCACGGCGTCATGACTGCCTACGGCAACTATCATCCGCAGGGGTAAGAGCGAAAGTTGCTGGGGTTCGACAGCAGGATGGACCCGCTTGCGGATCACCTCTGCGGTCAAAATGGGACATCAATGGCAAGCCTTACTTGGAAGAAAAAAAAGAACCAGCAAGCTCGAAATCAGGAGGTTTCTCACCACCCGCAGAGACTTGGGGATCGGATGCGCAGCATCCCTTGCGTTTGCGCGCGAATGGGTATCGGTAACCATCATGTAACTGCTAGAAGAGCTGTCCGATGCATAGGACTTGCAGAGACAAGCGGCAGCGAGTACGATGGATACCAAGGAGGTTCATACCGTCGAAGCTGACCAAGGAAACACGAGTGCTGCAAGAAGTTTCTCGACAAGCACGTGGGGGAGTGGGGAAGTAGGGCCATCTCGAGATTCTGGTGAACAACGCCTGCCATCAGATCGCTTGTGAGACTTTCGACGGCCTCGATCTGGACGATGTCAAGGCCCAGTGTGAAGTGATTGCACGTATTGTTCCCGGCTGTTCAGCAATGGGGGCTGAACTTGTTGGCTATGAACAAACCTTCCTTCAGCCGAACATCATTGGAATGATCGCGGTACGTCTACCTCGCTGACGCCGGCGCGAGTAACATCATGACAGGCAGTGTGCTACACATCAGCCAGGGCAGGTGATTGTCGTTTTTTCAGCGGCTTTCTCACTCCGACCTGGGCAGGCTGAATGAGATACAGCGCGATTCCTTGATGTTAACCCTACCAGCTGGTACGGCTCATGATCTTGTGCACAGGCAGCATTGCACTCAAGCACTAAAATTGTAGTCCAACTTTCGCCTCATGAGCAGCACGTTCAATGATGAGAGCCTGATTTCTTGCACGCATTTACCGCTCATTGTTCGTCAAACTCGTATGCCCATCTTGCCTGGTATGCTCGAAGGTCCTCACCTCTGACGCTGGCCAAGCTTGATTGCGGGTTGCATCAAGACCGCAACGCCAGGTGAGGAAGACTGAACTCACCCAAAGTTGCACATACGAAGCCATACATCACTGAGGTAATCACAATTACGTAAGCACTTTTTGGTACAGCCAGAATTGTAATTGCTTTCATCGTCGCTCGCCTCTGGTACCCCCACCTGCTTGGTTCATACTCTTTTGGGCTGCGAGATGCATAGCCTTTACTGTACACTTGTCGATTTAAAGCAGAGATATCGTCCCGGTCGCTGTTCACTCCCTCTCCCTCGAATCTGGTAGCTGGTAGCTGGAAAGTTCTCCAAGCTCGCGATCAAACTAAGCATGTCCAGCACGATACCAGCGACCTCCTCGTCCCAGTTACCCGTGGCGACGAGTGTAAAACCGGGTTCAGCCGTGAATCCAGATGGAAGTGTCGACTTTGGTGCCAATGCACCGCTAAGAGTAGTGAAAGGAAGCGCCCTTGCCTGTACGTTCAAGACAGGCCCAGTACTTCGACATGGACATAAAAGGCTGATCCGCTCTCCAATCTCCAATACCCGATATTCGTTCTGCTGCTTTACCTTTGTCATTTTCTTCATCATGGTTTACTTGCTTGGCCGCCTTTCCTCTTTAAGCGGTGGCTGGGTTCGCCGCAGGTTCTTCCACAGGAGTCTGGCGAAATCAGTCCGGAACACTGCTTGGCATGCGCATGGGTATTAATTGCTTTACCTTTGCGTTTCCTTTCTTCGGTAGGCGACCCTTTGCTCTTCTCGAATGGGTTCGAACGCATGCTGACTGCCTCAACGTCTGCTTACGGACTAATATCTACAGCACTGCGAGAATACGTGGTCGGGCCGGCCCTCTCCAGCGCAGACCCATATTTGCTCACATCACTTCCAGCAAATATAGCGCACAACACTTCAACCACAGCTCGTTCCCCGAGGACTCGACCACCAGACCTCACGCACAATGCACTAGCAAGCACACTGTCCGGATCGGTCGTTGGCGCCGCGCTAGCAGGTTGGCGACGAGGATGCGTCTCTATTCCATCCGGCGCCATCGTGTTCGCCGCTCTATGTGCAGCGCTCCAGCTCAGCGGCAACGAGGCGAGGAGAATAGTGTGGAGATGGCGCGCGCCCATGGACTTGGCAACGCCAATCGGCTCGGCACTCTCGAGGCATGATGCCGGAGATGCACCGCGGGTAGATGTGGAAAATTTCAGCAACATTGAATCCCAAGTAACGCCGGAATTATCAGACCAGCTGCGAAAGGCAGCATCAGATTCACCTTCTGAATCTTGGTTGTCGCGACTTAAGTCTGGCTTATCTGCAGCCTCGCCAGTGCACAAAATCTCTGACGAAGAGTACGAGGGACGCCTTCGTGCACGCTTGGTTCAAGTTGAGGCAGAGCTCAAAGAACTCGATGTGGAGCTTAGCAGTGTGGATCGATTCGAATGGGGTCAACAAGGGGGGGAGAAGGTTTTATGATAAGAATTATTGCACGCTCATTGGATGCACAGAGTGCAATTTGCTGGTTCACATCTACATAGGTCGTGCCCTCTGCTTGTTCACTGCAGGCAAACGCATATGGTCAGGCATCAGCGAAGAATGTCACCCCTTCACACCCTGACGCGTGACTTACTGGAAACGATCAGTTGTTTGTAGCTGGACACGCTGCCGTAGAATTTCTCGACGGTGCCATCGTGGCAGACCCAAAGCTCGTCAAGCGCGCCCGAAATAAAGCGCTCGTCGTGTGTCACGCAAATGATTCCGCCGTTCCAGCGCTTGATGGCATCCATCAGCGCATCAAGACCTTCGATGTCTGCAGGAGAAAGAACCGGTTGTCAGTTGTACATCTCGGTTAGCAGGGGAGTGACGTCATGTACCCAAGTGGTTCGTTGGCTGCGATGAGCGGCAACGAAGGGGTCAGTATTTATGCACTACATGGACGAGATGCTCTCGACTCACCTCGTCAAGAATGAGGATGTGGGGCTGAGAAATAAGAAATGAGAAGCAAGTTCCATCAGCCACGATGCTCAACAGCACAGATCAATGAACCCTGGTCTCTCACCTGCAGCAGGCTAAGTGCAGCGAAGGCAACGCGAGACTTTTGTCCTCCTGACAGCGTTGCAATTTTCTGCAATCCCGTCATACCCGTAATACCAAAAGCGCCTAGGTGCTGCCGATATTCCTGTTCGGTCTTGCCCGGGAATCGTGCTGCCAAGAATCCGACGGCGGACTGCGTTAGGTCGAGTTGGTCCACATGGTGCTGTGTGAACCAGCCCACGCGCAGCTTGCTGTTGCGCTTCTGCATGCCTTTCGTCGGATTGATCTCGCCCAGGAGAAGCTTCATGAGAGTTGTCTGTGGGTAAGAGAAAAGTTATTTAGCGTCTATCTTTCCTTTTGACTTGCACGTCATATCTCCGAAAGCGCTTTGTACCTTGCCTGCTCCATTTCCTCCGACCACCGCGATGCGGCTGTCCATTGTCACATCGAAGGACACGTTCTTCAGCAGCAGCTTGTCCGGCGTATACCCGAACGTCACGCCGTCCAGCTGGAGCAGCGGCGGAGCAAGGCGTTCCGTCTCTGGCAACCTAAACTTGACGATATCGTCCTGCTCGGGTGGCTCGATGACCGGCATTCGTTCCAGCTCCTTGAGTTTCGATTGTGCCTGCGCGGCACGGTTAGCGTTGACGCGCCATCGATCCACAAAGGCCTGAATGTGCGCTCGCTTCTGCATATTGGCTTCGTACTCGCGCTGTTGGTTCTTGCGACGCTCCTCGCGCGTCTCGTAGAACTGATCGAAGTTGCCCTTGTAGTAGTCGAGGCGCTCGCTATGCATGTGGATGATATCCGTCGCAACTTGGTTCAGGAAGGCTCGGTCGTGAGAGACGAGGAGGAGCGTCCCAGTCCATTCGTTCGCCAAGTAGTCTTCGAGCCAAGCCACAGCGGGGAGGTCAAGATGGTTGCTCGGCTCATCGAGCATCAATAGATCCGGCTGGCAGGTTCACAAGGGCTCACATGTGTCAGGTCTAAAACGTCCAGTTCTTTCATTCGCCACCACAATACGCTCACCTTGCAGAACAGTGCCCTAGCCAATGCTAGACGCATCCTCCAACCACCAGAAAAGGCCTTTGTCGGTTTCTGCTGATCCGATTCGTTGAAGCCCAAGCCATACAGCAACGCCGCAGCCCTGGCCGGCCCAGTTTCTGCTTCCATATCCACCAACCTGGCCTGCACCCCACCGAGGCGGGCAGACAATTCCTCCCGCTTGTTCTCTCGCTGTCTGGTGGGCAAGTCTACAGCGCTACCTGTGGACAGTCCACCTGCGGCATTGGCGGCTGCTTGCGCTGCATCGATAGCCGCCTTGGCGCTCTCCTCGAGCTTTTGAAGCTCGTCATTGATCGATTTTTCCTCCTCCATCAGCTTTGCCCGCCACACATCTGCCCTGAGGACAGCCTCTATCGCAGTCGTGTCGTCGCCGACAATTTCTTGTTCGACATAGAGCAGCGACACAGAGGTGGGAATAGGGACTTCTCGTAACGCCATGTTGCGCAACAGCGTGGACTTTCCAACACCATTACGCCCAATGAGACCGTAGCGCCGGCCGCCGGTGAGCGTGAGGGTGGCATTGCTGAGTATGCGGAGCGAGCCGAAGCTGAGATCGATCGAAGGCAGATTGATGTCCTTGTTCTTGCCGCGTGCGCCCACCGATTCAAGCGGGTTGACCTTGAGGAACATTTCCTCGTACGATTCCTGTTTCTTGGCCGTCTCGACCAGCTTGCTACTCTCGTACAAATCTCGCTGAGCGCGTTTGGCAAGCTTTTGCCGCGTCTTAGCTTCCTGCTTTTCGAGTTTCTTGACGTCAACTGTCGAGCGAGTCTGGTTGGTTCCGCCCAAGGAAATGTCTACGCCGCCGGCTGAGTCGAAGCCAGCGGTCTTAGAGGCGCCGAGATTTGTTCGCATGTCGACGACGCGCTCGAGACGGGTCAGCCCCGCAGGGCCACTGCCGTCGGCGTCGCCTCCCCCCGAGGAAGAGGGCATCTTCTCTGCGACGGACTTGGAGATTTGCTCGAAAAGTACAGCTAGTTTCTTTTGTGCAGCACGATCGGTGAGGGTGGCCGACACGAGCATCGGCTTGATCACATCCTCCATCGGATCCGTGTTCGGGTCGGCATCCAGCGCGACATCTTCCACATAGCCGGAGAGGTACGAGACAATGGGCTCGTCGAGCTTAGGCAGCTCCTTTCGCAGCAACTTGGCCGTCGCCATTGTGAGTATTGGACGCTTCGAGCTGAAAGCAAGGCAGATGGCTTGGTGGGCTATTGCTGCACTCGCAAGGATGATAGACGGGTTTAACCACGATGCAGACAAGCCAGTGGCTTCAGGAAGGTGTGCCTAGGCATGAAATTTCGAATGGGGCGATCACACTCATGGATTAAATTGCTGGAGTCTTGCGATCCTCTCATATGGGATGCCAAGCCCATCGGGGTTAGGGTTACTCATTTTCCGATTGCACCGAATTTGTTTGCCTTTTTGATATTATCCAGAGAGTCGACTTGAACACTCGCACTTGACAAGGACGGAACCTTGGGACGCCTTGCTAAGATCAAGTTAACCTAGACTTCAACTTTGGACCCTACGCCTGACTCCTGGCTTTGGTCGTTCATCTGTGCCAGGCGCTCTTCTCGCTTTGCTGCGATCCGAAGGAAGTCATTTGAAAACGAAACCACCGCAGCTAGAGCGAGGCGGAAGTCATGGCAAGCACATCAACAATACCGAATGCGGGAGCAACCACGGGCACCAGCTCGTTGTCCCTCGATCTGAGCACAGCAACATTCAAGCGCCTGCACCCACGCACCTACCTCGAGCGCTTCCTCACATCCCATATTCGCGAAGATGGTCGCCTCTTCTCTACGTGGCGGCCCACATCGGCCGTCATGGGCGCCATCTCATCCGCAGAGGGTAGCTGTCTCGTGCGAATGGGCGTCACTACCGTCGTAGCGGGAATCAAGGCGGAGGTCGCAAAACCTGACATTGCCAGAAGCACGACTTCATCTCACAGCAGTGGAACGGCAGCAAAGGCTTCTGCTGGATGGCTGGTACCCAACATAGAAATCTCTCCGCTCAGCTCGGCGCGAGGCCGACCAGGCCCACCGACCGAAGAAGGACAGCTGTTATGTGATCGATTGACGGACCTGCTTGCGAGCCCTTCGAGGCCTGTGATTGACGTCACCTCACTCTGCATTCAACCGGGTGTGGCGGCTTGGTGCCTTTATTTGGACATCACAGTCGTCAGCAATGACGGCAATGTCTTGGACGCTGCCATGCTTGCGGCAATAGGAGCACTGATGGACAGTGAGCTTCACTTGCAAATCCTTCCGATTATGCCCCCCGAGTCTTTGTGCTGATATTTCACTCGCGTTGGCAGCCCGCCTCCCCAAAGCGACATTTCACGAGCGAACAAATCGGGTGATCTGCTCCGATGATCCTGCAAACTCAGCACCGCTCCCACTTCTCTCACTACCTTTCTCCTCGAGCTTTGGCATTTACGAAGGCGCACATTTGCTCAGCGACCCATCCTCATTCGAAGCTGCTTTCACTGCCAGCAGTCATATCGTTGTTGGCTTGAGCGAGTGGACGGAAGAGGGAAGCACATGGGCCAGGGCTGTAGCAAGTTTTGAGAATGACAGCGAGGCACAAGATGGTGCGCAACATAGCATGGATACCGACGAGGATTTCAAAGGGGATGAAGGTCTCAATCATCTCGCCATCACATATCTACATCAAGTCGGCCGATGTCGCGCGCTCCTGCCACCTGACGAGCTTCAAGGACCAGCAAACAGGGAACAACCGTCAGCTCTTTTGACTCCTCTGCAGGTTATCACCTCCTGTCTGGCCAAGGCCAAGCGAAGGTACGCGGAGCTTAAAGGGGTGCTAGAAACTGCCAGAAGCGAGGCACACAGCAAACGGATAGAGGAGCAGAAGGCGGGTGTGCGTACGTCTGATGAATGATTTTCGATACATTTCAGCCTTCTGGCATGCTGTGTCGCCGCATCAGCCAAGGGGCTTCAATGTCTCCCATTTGAGCGCTCGAGCCTCGATGTAGTCGCTGATGGTGAGATTCCTGCGCTTGTGCCCGCGTTCGGTGTTGAGCTTAGCACCCCGCCCAGACCGCCTATGGCAGAGCCAAAAGCGCCGCTGACCATTGCGCCAGCGCTGAAGAGCGCGTTCACAGGAGCTGATGCAGCCGGCCCTCCTCCACTAACAGAACTGCGCCGCCGTACCTTGTCCTGCTGTACTTTGAGGGCAAAGAGGCGCGCATTCGTGCCGGTCCAGATTCCACTTTACATAGACGGGATACGGCGTGCATGTGGTTGATTTGGCTTCAGCAAGCATATTTGCAACGACCTCAGGGTATGTGGTTAGACTCACAGCGGCAAGAGTGCGGTAACATAGATAACTCCCCACAGATAGCTTTGCAACCAGATGGCAGCATGCTCGTTCCACTGAAATGGCCGTGCTACTGCAAGGTTTGAGGGAAAAGACAAGTGCATCCTTCAGCAGCTGTCCTGCCAAGGTCATGATGGCTACCGCGCCTGCTTACAGATCGGTGGCGCATCTGGGAGCAAGCCTTTCAGAGACTGCTCCCTCAAGAAAGCAAGGACGCGCTCGTCGGCATTTTGCTTGTTGGCAACCGTTTGCGAAGCGCTAAACTCCTCAACTTTGGGGACGAGGTAATTTAGCGCGACTTCCAGAGTGTTAAGGGGAAGCCTGTCCAGTATTGCAGAAACCAGTCAGCAGTTGGATACCCAAACAAAGTGCCTCATTACTGAACTCCTCACCGTCGTTGCCAGCTAGCGACCCATTCTTCCGTAGCTACAAAGCCGTTGCGACCGATTGTGCTCGCCGCAACGTATAGCTCATCTTCGGTGAGACTCTCAACAAGCGCGTCTGCCTCTGTCACTGATGGGGCTTGGTTGAAAGCGGTTGACGTACCATTCGACGTCTGTCGCATCTTGGCGCGAACTCGGTCAGATGGCGCAAGTGGGATGCACTCGGCCTTCGGCGGGGCTGGATGGTCGCAAAGTCCGAACGCTTGCACCCCTTCGGTCGCTCCTTGCATTGCTGCAGCCAACACCTGGTCGCGCTCTGCGAGTTGGCGCTTTTCATCGTCCGGCAGAAGTGCCGCTTCCAGGGGCTCGGCTGTGGTCGGCGCCAGGAATAAAGGACCTGAACTGGGAGACGGAAATCCAGGAGACAAGGGCCCTGCCGCTACCAAGCATTCTTTTCTCGTCGAAGCGGCAGCTGTCTCGGCTAACCGAGAATTAACGCTCTCACGCCCCCTCCGCACACGCCGGATTTCCGCGATCCCTCGACGAAGCGTGAAGTTGGCGAGTTTGTCGATGGATGGTTTCGATCTCCCCACGAGGGCGTACGCGAAATTCGGATTGCTGGAAAATTGATACTGGATCAGCGAAGTCAATGCTTCCAGCATGTAAAACAGCAGGCGCGGGTTACCCTCATCCGCGAGTAGGAAGGCAGCGTTGGAAAAGGAAGACAGCAGCTGGACCAAACGAGCAGAAGAGGTGACGGATAGTGAGCGCCAGAAAGCTCCCGTATTGCTGAGCGAGATGATCAGTGGAGGATACAGCGACGCCAGTGCCCCTTTTGTAGAGCCCAAAAAATGGTACACCGACTGCACAAGCAGGTCGGCTGCGCTTCCCTCTCCACCGGAAGGTGCAAACTTGGCTGGCAGCTTGCCTTTCGGATAGCTGCCTACCTTGCTGATGTTGATTGCGAAAGCTCGCTCGGCGGAAATGTCTTGCAACATGAAGACACACAGTCGTACGAGACCCTGCTGTGCCAGATTGTCTTTATTGGCAAGTGTGAAGTATAGCAGGTCGCAGAGCAGCTGGGGTGCTCTGTACACGTCATCCAGCACAAAGTTCCGGAATCGAGGGTTGTGGTCGATGAGCGACCAGAGCAGTATGAGCGTCTCGGGGATGTGCAAGACAGTCGACGCAGGGTCTGCGGTGTTCCCCGGTAGTTGAAGCGAGAGTGGGATGATCTGATTGCCCGAGGGAATGAAATGTTCCAAAATCCCTGCTATGCCGTTCCACAGGCACACAAAGTCTGCAACGCGATGTAGTCGGGAAATATAGAAGCGGAATATGTTGGGCTTTTGGTGGCGTGTATGCGTGGCATCGGATGTGCTTCTGGCAATGGGAAAGTCTCGCGACGCGTACGAATCTGCGGTGGCTAGTGGTGGACGTTGCGGTACAGCGAAGTGAGGCGCCGCCATTTCGTCCATAGGATATGACAGCTGAGGCGAATCATAGCTGAGCAATACATTGATGATCTGAAGAGAAAGACCAACTAGAACACTGCTCCCTTCATGCTCCTTACTGCTGCCACTCGTGATGCCGGCGAACCGATCCTTGACATTGCCGGGCTTGATGACGTTGGGTACAAGGCCCTCAATCCACCCAGGTGTTCCCGTGCTCTTTGCGATCGTGTTAAGCAAGCTGCAGAGAAGCGGCAAGACAACGCTTCTGTCTAATGTTTCGACCGTGTACTGGAGCGCTGGATTTTCGGTCTTGGCATGCAAGTGTGCTGGAATGTAGACGCTCTTGGAAATGAGAACGAGAAGAAGTCGCAGTATGGTGATGCGGTTGGACTCATGGAACGTCTCCGTCCCTGAAAGATCCACCGAAGAGCCGATGCCAGAAGTCCAAATAGCAAAATTGACCCGTGAGATACCTTCAGCTTCGGCAGGCGGTGTTTGGAGCAGCTCTTCTGTCCAGGGGATGGTGATTCCCGAATAGAATAAGAAGTCAATGACGATTTCGATCAGACGCTCTCCAAGGCTCGGCGGTAGATCGCCATCCTCCTCCGCGAGATCGGCCGTGACCGGATCGATGGACCGGTTGTTAGTCGCTCCCAACGGATCTGACGGTGCTGCCTTTGCCCCTGAAGATGATGCTTCACGACTTAGTACCACTTCATCGATATCGTCCATGTCATCGATAACGAACGGATCCTCAGTAGCGGTGACGGTCTCGGCATGGTCCTTTTGAGACAGCGGCACCCTAAATTGAGTATTTTCTTCCCTTTCCAAGGTTCGTCTGCGATCCCAGAGCAGCTGCCGCTCAAGCTCATCAGAGGCAAGGGAGACGTTCGGGTCGATGCCACCATCTGCCTCAATGGTGCACTCTGCATCGTGATCGCCCTCCATTAGAACCGGTAAAAGTCTTGTCAAAATACGACAGCAATTAAGCAGCTCTTTGACGCGATCTCGTGACGGTTCGACTTGTGCACCTTTGCTGTTCCCCAGACCAGGTACCCCTGGTACCCCAAGCTTGAACCCGGGCGTTCCGGGTATCATCGATCGACTTTTCTTGTCATCCTTGACCGGGAAAGGAGAAAGCATCGGGTCATCTCGCAAGCTCTCCAAGTGCAAAATGAGCACCTCGATGAGTGTGTGAACATTTTCTGGGGCCGCAACCAATGCTCGCCTGATGTCTGCTACCCCCAAGAGCGAGAAGACGTCGGAGCTCGAGTCGAAGACGCGCAGGTACTCGGACCAATAGCGGTGATCAGAGATTGGGATAGCCTTTTGCGTCCACAAGCGAGCAATACCGTGTGTTGTGGACCGTTTGAATTCGAGGAGGCGGTCATCGCCAAAGATGAGCTTCTTCGAGTAATTGAACATGGCGAAGTGAGAGGGCAGCGGTCGGCCGACTTCCTGCGCCCGGCTCGCAGTATTTAGGCGCTGAGTGTCGAGTCGATGCCAGATCTCTACCAGATAAAGCAGGTTATCGAGAGCAGGCAAGAATTGAATCGTCCTTGTGCCAGCCCTCTGCCCTTGTATTTGCGAGTGTTTAAGATTGAGTATCACATGGGAACCCTTTCGGCATGAGAGGGATGCGAGGATGCAGCTGCACCGCCTGCACCGTGCACCGCTCGTGGCAGTTGTATGCAGAGAGTCCAAATTGCATGACTCTCGCGCCCACCGAACCACACCACAGACCATCCATTCTGCGCTGTCTACCACATTCTTCACAGCCTAAGTTGGCTAGCCACGTACATACCATTGCTGAGCTCGAGGGCATAACGAGGGAAGCCGCCAGGTCTCCAGCGAAGCACATCCTAGAATGTCCACATCAATCGGCGCCCGACGATTCGATTCGTCCGACCCACGGCGGCCAGAGCTTTGTCGACCGTACAAGCTACCCAACAGCTGGGCCGACGGTGAGACGGACATCTTCGCAGGGCTTCTCGGCACGTACGTAATATCTCCCTGCTAGCACGTTGATTCGAATCTGTGCAATTCGACGAGATGCTGACTTGGACTGTCCCTCTGTTCGTGCGTTGGATCCCGGCTCGCCTCGGCTGCCCTCTTCCTTCACCTTTCTACTTTCGACTGGCTGGACGCTCACAGCGCTGCGTGAGTTGTCCCTCCATGTAGGCCATCAAACCCCTGCCGGACGATGGCTAATCCTGACTTCATTGCGACAATGTCTGCAGGATGCTGAGCGGAGCAAGTATGCTCACACGCATGCCGCAATTCGCTTACGTCGGCTTCCTCTTCGCCTGTGCCCACTTCGCGCATGACCGGCCGCTTTCCCGAGGGAAGCAAGATACGGGGACCGGTGGACCGTGGACGAGTCTGATGTGAGTTTTCTCTCTCTTTGTGGTGAAGAAACCTGTTGTATCATCTGATGACCCCAAACCCCGACGGTATGCATGGGTCGCTCATTCAACGACTTAATCGCTCTCGTTGCGCAGATTCTCTTTTATGGCAATGGTTACTACAGCCCTTCCCAAGCTGCTTGGGCAAAACACTATATCCTTCACTGCATTAAAGCAGAGCAATGCAAGCGCATGAGGGGCACCATGGGTGTATGGTAGAGTGCATATGGATCCGGGTGGACCGAGAGTAGGTGTGAGGCCAGCGATCAATGGCATGTGCGTTGGTTGCTTCATGTGAAGTAAAATACACCTAAGATGCCCAGGCATTGTCCTCTTCCGGCAGCAAAGCATGAGTAGCGATGGACCTGCTCTGTCCTGCATCCTCCTCTTCGTAATCATCACTATCCGGCTCTGGCTCACCTCTGTACTGCCTTCCATCCGACAAGGTGTAATGACTGGAGGCGAAGGCCACCTCGTTCGCATTTGGTTCATCCTCCACCTCTTCGAAGTCATCCTCATCGTACTCATCTCGGTATTCTTCATCCTGTGGCGCGGGTTGTTGCAGAATGGACAGCGACTCAAACTGGGCAGAAGGAGCCAGCGGCAGCTGAACAATCGGCGGCTCGGCTACTTCCTCGTCGAGAAATGAGTCCAAGTCTTGGTACTTTGGGTTCATCGGCCGTGCACTCACCGTCGACTGCGCAAATGGGCTGGCAGCACGACTAGAATATGCCGACGAGGCTGCTACAGTAGCTGTTGGCACAAGAGATGGTGTGTTGCCTATTTTGGCGGCTCGCGGCAACTCTTCGCCTTCACCCTCGACAACATAATCGTACGCTGATGCTGACCGCAAAGGAACTGCCGGTGTACAGTTGGGTCTCGTACCACCAAGGGAGCTGACGAAGACTTTTGATCCAGAAGCGAATTCTTCCTTATCTGGTACGAGCGAAGGCGGGTCACGTTTGCTAGAGGCTATGCCGGTGCCTGGTGCGGCCCACTTGGGGATGCGCGCACTCCTGATGTCACCAAGCCTTCGGCTTCCGAGCGCGAGTGCGAGGCTTCCGAACTCCGCTTCTTCTTCTTCATCTATGCCCCCATACACAATGTCATTCACGGATGACGCGGCCACAAGGGCAGGGTACGATGACGAGTCGGAGCTCTGGCTTTTCAGCAGGACCTGCTCGGCATCAGCGACGAAAAGTACTTTGATCAAGTCTCCAGGCGTGGGGGCGAGCTGTGGAATCATCGTCGCCGGCGCAGACGTCTCCTCTTCCGATTCTCCGCCACTAGAGCTGCTCGCTGTAATAGCCACCATCATGGCCAAGTAGCGCCTAGCGTGCGCTTGCAGATCAAGGTTCGCATCTCGCGAAGCCTGCTGCAAAATGCTCTCCGCGTAGCGCGTCACCTCCTCGTTGGTTCCAGGCTCGCAAACTGTCTCTCTTGTCTGTAAAAATGCCCACACCTTTGCGGCGAGCGTGATGATGGCCAGCTTTGCACGAGCGGGCTGCGCGTATATAACGTAAGTACATTTGTTCAGCTGCATTATTCAAGGTCAAGGACGCAACCGCGAGTACACGCACCTCCTTGCCAAAATGACCGCTCGCTTTCCTCAAAACATCTACGCCAAGCAGCTCCGCTGCGCTTTTCCAGACAACTTTGGTCGACTGCGCTCCTTTCTTCGGCCGCGCCTCCGTCTCCGCCTGCCCTTCGACTTCTGCATCGGTCCAATCGACCTCAACGATAATCCTGCAGAATTCACCCAGCGCCCAAAAGAGCGCATGGCGTTCGTGCGCACCTGTGACATTGCGCTTCCCCACGAGCTTGAGCTTGCGCGTCGGCTGTACCGGCGGGGTGGGACTTGCAGTATCTGGCCGTTGACGAGCAGGCGCTGGAGCATCTCCACTTGTATAAAGCAGGTCGGCTGCGCGTTGTAGTATATCGAACATATCCAATTGCAGCTCGGCCGCTGCTTGCGAGATACCACCATCTGACCCCGCTTTCGGCTTGCCCACGTCTTTTTCCACTTCCTTGCCTCTCTCCTTGTTGTCACCTGTTCCCGGCGCCTTGTTCGCTTCCGGCGGAGCTACCAACGGTTCCTTCTTCGTTCGGCGCAGCAAGGTTTGTAATGCCTTGCCTTTCACCTTGAGCACAGTGACAAGCAGCTTCACAGCACCGATGATAACACGAGCGCGTACGGGCATCGGATGCTCGCGATCTTCCTTCCTTCTCTGCTCGCCCCGCTGCTGTCGATGATTCCCTCGCGCACCGCCTTGCGCGCTGACTGTCCAACGCGCGCTGGAGACATCAGAGAGGATGGAGAGGGCAAGTTCCGTTAGGCGCGCCTCGATGCCCAATCGATCAGTTTCGCCCGCAGGCCCTTGACCTTGAATTCGTTCCTGCGCTTCCTGTCGCCCTAGTTCTTTCGCCGCAAGTCGATCCAGCACCTCGCACAACACATCCAGCGCGCGTTCGGCGCGATCGTCCTTGTACTCCCATCTTGCAATCTCCTCCAGCTCCTCGATGAGGTAGCGCGCGTTCTCTGGCCTAGCAAGACGCGCGAGCACCGCCAGTTTCAGGTGAAAAATGGCGCTCGTTGCTGTGCTGCTCGCTAATGTCGTCGTCGCCATTAACGTTGATGATGAAGTGCTTGTCGCGATTGCACTCGAGGTTGCAGACGATGAAACAGCAGCAGCAGCAGCTACTGTTGACGTGGCCACTTCCAGCAGCCCCCCTGCACCGTTACCGCTGCTGCTGCCAAGTCCAAAGCCACTCAAGCCTGGGCCAGAGGACGAGTAGGACGAAGTAGCGAGTAGCGCAAGCGGCAATGAGCCCGGTGCGAGCTTGGAGCGTGCGCAATCTGATCGTGGCAGGAAGGCCGTAACGTATGGCGCGAAGAGTTTTTGGTAGGTCTTTGCTTGTTCTCTCCTTTTCCTTGCTCTCAAGTCATTGTCCTGTGTATGAGAGCTAGGGTTTGCAGAGAACATGTCAACCGGGTCGAGGGGCCGTGCGCTGCCGCCATTGAGCAGCCATAAAATATTGTATAGCGCGACAAGCACCGTGTCCCGGTCCTCTGCCCTTCCAGGTGAAATGAGTGCAAGAAGGGCGTTGACGAGCGGTGCTTGTACATGGGGTTTCTGTGCTTGGCTGACGCTGCTACTTGGCAGCAAGTAGTAATGCAGTCGCGCCGCTGCGAGCACGACGGCTGGGTTGCGTGAGGCGAACAGCATGCGCGACTTGTGCACAAGCAGCGAGAGATCGGGCTCGCATCTCCGTCTGTCTGGTCTGTTTCCTTTCAGTGCCTGCTTCTCTTGGCTTTCTGCGTCACGTCGCTCTACTTCGGCTGCCATGTCAACGGGCATCTCGAAACATTCCCGCGCGTAGTGCAGCAAAACCTCACACGCCATGATTTGGCTCCACTCGTTCATGTCAGCTAATGCATGGCACATGCGTCGAAAGTGCGGGTGGATTAGCTCCCAGCGCTGACTCAACTGTGACGACGATGATGATGAAGCGCCGCCTGATTGTGCTGTATGGTTCGCACCGTGATCATCCTCTTTGTGGAGTTGAAGGGGCTGTCTGAAGATGCGCTGAAAGGCAACAAGTGCTGCGCCGATCACCTGCGGAGACCGATCCCCGAGCAGTGTTGCAAGGGACTGGAGATGCGAGTCGAAAGTAGATGGGTAGAAGCTTTAGGTAGGCAAGGGCGCACTTATGTCAAAGGCATGCCTCCTTAGCTTTATGTTTGGGGTACTCACTCGACGCATCTGGGCAGCGCAAGCGCAGTGATCTTCCTGACGTACGCACTGCTGTCCCTCGCCGCCCTGCGCACGCTCATCTCCACGACAGCATGTACAAGTGGGTTCCGCAACCCGGTGAGAACGCGTATGGCCATACCGCGGATCAAGGGGCTGCTGTCCATAGAATCCCGCTGGAACGAGTTGATGGACAGGAGCGTTAAATCCTCGGCCTCCACTGAAGAACGCGCGTAGGTGAGGATGATGATATACACCAGCTTGCGCACTTCGAGAGAAGAGGACGAGGTCAGCTTCAGGGCACCAGGGAGGAATGAAGAAGCATCGCGTCCTATCGAGATCATCTGCAGCCGTATTCCGCAAGAAGAGTGGCATTCGTCAGCACGAATTCATATTCTGAGCTCGGATTCAAACTGTGAAATCAACTCTCACCGCGACAATGCGCCTGAGCCCATCAAGTTGGACATCGGTGGAGGTAGCATTGATCTGCGCACCAATTAGTGCGACCTTTTCCTCGGCTATATCAAGGTACCTTGAGCTAGAAGTTCCACCTCCAAATGCAGCTGCAGCACCTCTGCCACCACTGCTACTGCCAGCGCCCGCTAACCCGCCTGTAGAGCGGCCGATGAGATCGCGCAGTGCGTCCGCCGCATCTTCGGCGCGCTCTTGAAAATAAGACGCGGCTGAACGCGAGTTGGAAGAGGAGATAAACGAGGAGGCCATGGATGCTATCTTGCCTTTCTCTGCACGGTAGGCTGTCCGATTCTTCTCAGCACCGAAGCAGGCCCGCTGTTGCCACCGGAAAGCACCGTGGCTGGATCAGATTGCAGAGCCGACTCAACTGCCCGACCAAAACACTGCAGCCCACCGCAGTCGCACCTCTTCTGTGCAGTTCCACTCTCTTCCCCTTTTCTAATACGCTGTGTCCGCGTGGTCTTCTTATCCCGCTCCCAGGCTCCAGCAGGCTGACTGACTTTGAACTGATTTTGTCGCCTAGTCCACTTCAAGAGGTGGATCAATGCGGATGAGGATGCTTGAGCTTCCGATGTAGTGGAGTGGGAAATGAGGCGTGAGAATTGCACCGAATCTAACATTCACCGTGGGCCACAGCCCACCTCACAAAAATTCGAAGCCATGAACGACGTGTTCAGCACTTCGAGGGGTCAGCTTGCTTTGACATTGAGGTTGACCTCTTCGCGGTCCCGACTTGGGGCCTTGAGCTGAGCAGGGAGCTGGTGAAGTGTTTGTGCCCATACTTCCGGCTGTGTGCTTATTGGTGTTGCCCTCGCGGCTGCTCATCCTCAGCTACATCAGGTGATCCGGAGAGCTTCAGGGATCACGCTACCCCCAAGAAGTAGCACCTCCTAGCACCTCCTTAACAGATCGCATACAGCCCGTTGTACCTAGGGAGGAGAAGCTGGAAGGCTCGAATTTGTCGTGGCGCTACAAGCAAACAGAGCCGGAATCCCTCTAATCAGGACGCCTGACAAACCCAGCTTCCCAAGATGGCGCCCACAACGTCCTCTGCCACCAATTCGTGCGTTGCAGCTTCGGGAGCCAACTTCTTGCTGATGCACACTCATTCGCGAGACAAGCTCAGTCTATGCGCACAAATCATTGCGGAGCACTTTGGACCCATCGCTGGGCGCGTCGCTTCCGTCTTGATTTTGCGAGGCCGACTATCGTTCGTGGAGCTGCATCGTTACTTGTCAGACGCACCTGGGAGCAGTGCGGGCGGCAGCAGTGCGGCTGGAGTGGGAGCACTTGACGGTACAGCTGCCAGTGCGCTAGGTGGGAAAGGCGCACGCAGGAGTACCGGTCTGGGGCAGCGTGCGCTCGCAAGTCTCCGCGGCATTACCAGCGCAGCAGTATCCGGCTCAGCGGGAGGCGATGGTGGTGCAGATGAATCTTCCGCTATTGCAGGGCCGTCCTCCTATGGCAGCCATACGCACAATCCAACAGGCGCCAACACCTCGCAGCACCACCCGCTCGCAGCACCGCTCGGTCCATTACGGCAAAAGTTGCAGATCCAACATGCGCTCATGGTCCTGGTCCAGCACAATGTTTGCTGGCATGTGCGGCTCGATGCCAAAGGCACTGTTCTCAACAATGAACGTGACGGTTCGATAGGTGAAGCAGCCGCGGCAACAGCGCCGATCACAGGGACGGAGTACTTTGAGATGAACCCCAACGAGATCTTGTCTCGCTTGCGGTTTGGGGAGTACATTGGCATCGCTCACGAGACTTTTGGGGCGTTGGTGGGTACGCAGGCGAACTTGAGGAGTTTGCATGTTAGGCTGACATTTCTCCCCTTGGATGTGCTGTTCTGCGTGGCTCTTGCCTTCAAAAGGGCTGTGACATCATCAAGCTCGTCCAAATACACGGAAAGCTACAAGTTGCCGACATAATTGAACGTCTATGTGGGCCGGAAGACCAGCGAAGTATGTCCCAGTAGGAATATTCAACCTTTTCTTTGATATCGAGGCTGAAATGTCGCACACATTCGCAAATAGAGCGGAAGCGCGTCGAAGAGCTGCTGAAGCGTCTCCTGTGGACCACCTACCTGCGTCCATCCGTGCTCGCCATGCATATATCTCGCCGCGAAAAAGAGGTGGCGTACTGGAAAAAGCTGCAGGGCGCTGGAGGTGTGCGCACGGCCAAAGGAATCAAAGAAGGAAAAGCACAAGTGCACATGCTTATTGATGAAGAAGAGCGCCAAGCGCTCTTTGGTGGGGGTCTCAATGACGATGCGAAGAAAGGAGATGGTCAGCAGAGCTCCCGCTTGGGTTTGCTGCTGAAAACGATGACGGCGAGCAGCAGAGCAGCCAAGAGAACGGCCGATTCCGCCGGACTCGCGAATGGCAGGGCCAAGGAGAATAGCAAAGGCTCGAAAAAGGCAAAGGTCAACGGAAGAGAGAATTCCAAGAACAAAGGCAAGTCCGGAAAAGACAAAGATCGAAGCTCGCGCAGCTCTGCCAAAGCCATTAAGAGCAAGAACGGGAGAGGACGAGGGAAGAAGGCCGCGAGCAGTAGCGAAGAGGAAAGCGACAGTGGTAGCCAAGGTGATAGCAGTGATGAAGATGGCAAGAGCGGCAGCGACGAAGAAACCCCCGGAAGAGACAATGAAGCAGAAGCCAGCGCCTTCTTTGCGCATTCGCTTGACCACCTTGATATAGATGTGAGTTTGTGCGGAGGTGTTCTCGTCTCCCGCCACAGGGCGATCGGGCATATGAGGCTGACCCTGCGAGCGGCGATGCTGTTCAGTACAACATATTCCTCCGCATCAACCCAGACCGGTTCGATGTGCACATCCGTAACGAGGCGCTTGTCACCGCTGTGTCCGACTGGTCCAACTCGAATCCCGTCATCGGCGAGGTCTTTAGGCACATGCTGCAGGTCGCCGAGACACCTTCCTCGTCTGCTATATCCTCTTCCTCTGCAGAGTCGCAAGCGACAGCGCAGAGGCAGCATCTGCAGAGCTGTGCAGATACTGTCAGTGCCTCGTTCAGCCTTGCAGTGCTCGAGAGGCGCCTTCCGCTGCGTTTGGATAGGAATGCTGTATTTGATCATAGATCGCTCGCAGCTGTATTCGGTTCAACCAGCCGAAAGGACAAGACTAGCTCAAGGTCAAAGTCAAAGGGCAAGTCTAAGTCGAAGAAGGGGAAGACAAGCAAAGGAAAGGGCAAGAAGAGGCGATCAGACACCTCGGATGACTCGGAGGATAGTGAAGAGGATGAGGATGAAGATGAAGATGATGGACCGACCATAGCTCAAGTTCTCCAAGAGATCGTCAAGATCTTCCTCAATGCCGCTGATCTGATGGGCAAGGACAAGCGCATCATTGATCAAATTTCCGGGCTGCAAACATCTTTTTCTTCCGGGCTCGGCGGTGGCGGAGGCGGAGGCAGATCATCTGGTGTCGCGCGCAATGCAACGTTCACCATCCAGTACGCGAAAATTTGCAGGCGTATGAAGCTCGAGATGCTCAGTAGCATGATCGAGCAGATCTATGGAGAGGACGCAAGGCGCATCTTTAGCTTGTTGAGTATTTACGGCAAGCTCGACGAGAAGAATGTGAGTCTTTGCACTGCATATCGGACATGCCTCTGTACCGAAGCTGAGCGCCACTCCACCGACATGAACACAGATCAAAGATCTAGCTCTCATCTCCATTGCGGATACACGTGCAATCTGCACTAAGCTGTTCAAGGCCTCCATCATCCAGCTGCAAGACGTGCCGCGCACGTCGGACCGCAATATCACCCGTTCTATATTCCTTTACTACGTTGACGTCGATCGCGCCTACGGTTGGCTTCTGGATCGGTGGTACCAGACGCTAGAGAATATCGGGCGGAGACGTGTCATGCAAGATGCCAAATGTTGGGCCATCTTGCAACGTATTGAGACACGGGAGCGTGCCCAGGCGACAATCGCAGCTAAAGGTGAACCAACGGCGATAAGCGAACTCGAGGACGTGGAGAATTTGCTGAGAGAATCGGAACAGATCGCATGGGAGGAACTGCAGCGCGATCGAGAGATGCTCACTATTGCTGAAGCAAGGACCCAGCGAGATGTTTTTCTTCTCAGCTGTCTGCCAGGCTAGAGCAACGAGAATGTGGCAAGCCAAAGCCTCCATGTAGCCTAACACATGTCGCAGTGGGTCATGCCCGTCACAGTGCCATTTTCAATCGCTGTCATTTCCAACTCATCTACATCAGTCATCAGCCTGTGGCCCTTTTTGAGCTGTTAAGGATGCAAAAGGACATTAACGGGCATACATCAAGAACTCTGCGGGGAGGAAAGGAAAGCTCACCGAGTGTGATCTTGTCGCCAAGACTGAGGGCAATACCTTGTGTCTTGCTGCGGATGCGTACATGCCCTTGGATCGTGCCATCTTTCAATTGTTCGATGCTGAGGTTGGCTAGTGCATCCTCGCCGAAGAGTGACCGTGCGTACAAGTTGGCGGAGAGGAAGCCGCACTCGCCAGCGAGCGATGCCGTGGGTGTTAGGCAGGCCATGTTCGTTGACTTCATCATGTGCTCAAGATATTTGCGAAGAGTCCTAGACATACGAAGCAGGCAGTAGGTTAGCATTTACCCCCGTCAGAACAATAGTGACGAATGTAATCCGGCACTCACGGAATCGTGGTGTTAACGTTGACCTTGTTCTCCCATTCGAACTCGGTCCACATGCTCCTGAACTGCGTCTCAGTGCAGCGCGCCGGCTTGATGTAGTCCATAATGTCGATGTGAATGTCATTCAAGACGACGCAATTGCTCTCTCCTGCAGAAGCTCCACTAGAGCTGACTGCGGAGCGAGAGCCTGCTTTCTGAGACTTGGACGCTGGCGCGGAGCCCTCATAGATGATGTTGCCAAAGATAACACCAGTCTCTGTGCTGGAAACCTTGATGGCAGCCTTGATGCTTTGGTAGTTGTACGGCGCTAGCGTGTAGCTGGAAGGCCGCTCAACGAGCTTCAAGTCGCCGAGAGTGGCAAACTCGATGTTGAGATTTTGCAGCGTCTCGGCTGTTTGGTTGACCACAAGAACATCGAGCAAGATGTCGAACTGGTGAACGTGAACATACGCTTCAGCATAAACTGGGTCTGAGAAGCCGGTAAGCTGAATGACACGCTGTAATTTGGAGATAAAGTCATCCTTGCCGCTGTCCGCAACGCCGGTGGCTTGCACCAGCTCCTTTTCGAGATCTTCCGCCTCGGCTTCTGCCGCATTCTTTTTCGAGAATTGCCGGAAGGTGAGCAGATCGTCGGCCTGAACCTTGACGATTTTGGTTTGCTTGGCGAGCTCTTCCGCCTTCTTGGCCTCTTGGTGTGCAATCATCTTAGCATACGCCGCCTTGGTGTCGCCAAAAAAGACATCGGCGACATCTTCGTCCTGCTGCATTTCGGCGCCAGCGTTCCCTGCAGGAAATGTCGCAAGCGTCTGGATGCACGTCATGATGCGTTCCACGCTGTCCTCGTCAATAGGAGCAGCTGAAAAGCTCGACTGGCCAACACGGATGATGGAAGTCATGATGAGCATAGACTCTGCTCGGATCGAGTTAACGGCCAGAGTATCCGATGACACTGCTGAGAAGTGCATGACCAGCTTGACAAGGGTGGAAGCGAGTACCGTGGCAGTGTAAAAGTCGCCAAGAAGGAGGAGAGATCGTAATGGAGGCTTGCTGCTGCTGCTCGTCGGATCCAGCTTGGCCACTTGCTCGAACGCGGTCTCTGTGGCGTAAGTACCATCTGCTCGGACCTTTGGCCCGCTGCTCTTGGGCGCCGCAGGAGCTGTGCTGTCTCCTCCATTAAGCTGCTCATCTTCACCTGCAGCGGTGGCCTCCAAGGCTCGCTCTTCTGCAGCCAGAATTGGCAATTCCCCAATGACGTTGCGAACCTGCTGCATGGCTTCCTTGACATCCTGCACGCTCTCACAGTACTCGCCGACAATCCAGAGAGCACCACGGAACACCTTTCCGCTCTTGATTTGGTCAAAGGTCCTGAGAAGCTTCTCCAAGATGGAGCTGCGCAAATCCGGGAACTTCTCGACGACCTCACGCACAAAGGAGATGACATCAACTGCCGAAGAATTGCTCGAGTCACCCAAGAACTCCATGAGTACGTGCACGACATTGCTGGCGACTTCGCCGAATTTGATGGCGCAGGCGTGGATGCTCTGGATCAGTAGCTGCTTGTATTCTGTCGCAGCTTTGTCGACCGCGACACCCGGCGTGCCATCTCCCACCGTCTTCATGAGCTCTTTCTTGAGAAAGAGCACGACCTCCTCAATGTTCCGACTGGTGACCATCTCGAGCGCAATATTGAGTGCCTTTCGCTTCACGTCCATGTCTGTGCTGCTGAGGACACGCAGGACGTCCATGACGAGCGGGTCAATGACATGCTCGTGACGCTTTCGTAGGGCATCGAGCCGGTCGAGGACGATGAGCTTGACATTATTGTCGCTTTCCTTGACAACGAGCTCGATGAGCGCACTCGCTGTCGCCTTGATGGCTGCTGAGGATTGTGTGAGGGTTGCAAGTGTTGTCGCCGCTTCGTATTTAACCGCATGACTCGGAGCATCGAGCAGCTCCGAAATCACTCGTACGAATCGGGCCTGCGGAGGGGTACAGAAGCGAATGTCAGTGAAAAGAGCGCAAGATACTTCGTAAATGTTCGGCACACCTTTCCCTGCCCGCCTCCTGTCTTGGTCTCCTTCCTGATGAGCTCGATGACCGCAAGTTGCATGCCTTCATCCGCGCCGCCAATCTGCTCGGCCATTCCACTCAAGTACACCATTGCTTTCTCGGGTGCGACATGCGCGAGGAAGATAAAAGCGTTCCTCTTGCAAGTGCTATCTGCTTCGGCCGCCAGGAACGTTTCCATCAGGTCCGGTGCGTCCGGGATAAGCGCGGCGGTGGTGGGCGTGGTAAAGACGGAGTAGACGCAAAACAGAGCATTCTTTCGGACGTAGGAATGGCGGTGTTCGAGGCAGGTGAGTATCGACGGTACGAGCGGCTCAAGCAGCTCTGCTTCCTTGATCTTCTGCAGGAATCGCAGCGTGGAACCACGAATGTATTCGTTCGGGTGTTGCAGGTCGTTCCGGATGGCGTTGCAGACGAGAATCATCTCTTGCTTGAGCTTCCCGTTCTCGTCGAGCTTCGGGCAGACCTCCCAGTAGAAGTGAAGCATCTTCTTGATTGCCTTGCTTTTGCTCGGCAAGACATATTGAATGATCGGCATGAGAAGGGTAGGATGTGGGTGCCCATTGAGCGTCGAAGTGATGAGCGTCCGCAACGCTTCGAGCTTGAGCTCATCGTCAGGCTTCTGCAATAGCGTCCGCAGCTCTTGCGACGATGTGGCGATGTGCGAGTCAATGCCGTCCGAGGCGGCAACTACTGTATACGCTGCGGCATCCATCTTGGGCAACTTGTCAAAGGCCTGAGGTCGGGATGATGGAGCGCGAGAAGAAGGGCGGTGGAGGAGCGGATCGATGCGAACAAGCTGCAGTCACCACCAAGTCGGGGCCTTCCACCTAGGTCTGACTTCAGACCTTCCGTCGACACACACGTTTGACGCAGCTCTTGGATGTGCTCGGAGCCTCGTCGTGCCTCTGCTAGCGTTGCTCTGCACCCTGGATGGGTCGATGCTCATGCGATTCCAATGTATGTGCTGCGAAGCTCGAGGTGTGGTGCGCTTTGTTGGTGCGGGGGTAACGGTGCCTCGCGCGCATACGTAAATTCAAGCACTCCTCCCTCATTCATATCGGAGAGTCCGTGGCAATTCTTTGGAGTTTGGTCTTCAGCTTTTCGTTGCCTCGCTTGCATTTTGGACTCTCAGTTGCCATCCGAAGCTCGACCTTGTGAACATACGGCATTGGCAACGCGCCAAGTCTTCCATTGCGCTCAGCCTTGTGTGGCAGGGCAGCTTGAACTCACAACTTGCGGCGAAGAAGCCCCACCGAGATACACACATCCACCTGCAGCACCGCCGAAATCCTATTCCAAGCAAGATGACCTCAACCGATGGCAATGCATGTCCGGTGGACCACGATACACGGCAGGTCTGGCTACAGCAGCAGTCTTCCTCCTCTTCAGTACCGTCACCCTCGGCATCTACGCCGTCGAAGGCTCCGTTATCCCTATCCAATAACTCTGCCGCAGCTTTCAGGCGCCAGCATGTCTTCAAGGCAAACCCGCGGAACAACGACGCAGCGAGAGCCGAAGCATACTTTCGCACGCGCTTGAGTCCTACCTCGCTCGCCAGCATTGATGCTGCCACTGCACAGAGGCCTTCGCTTTCGCAAGAGCGTGTCATCTCTTCTATACCACGGTCACGGACCGATGACAGTGGCCCCACGCCGGCGGACACATCCAATCCGAACGACCACTGGGTTTATCCTTCGCCCTCCCAATTCTTCAACGCCCTCCAGCGCAAGAATCACAACCCGCAAGCAGCAGACATGACCATCGTCGTGCCGATCCACAATGCCGTGAATGAGCGCGCATGGCAGCAGATTAATGCGTGGGAGAACCACTTCCACCCATCCTCCAAGGAAAAGTGCGGTGGCATCAAGCTGATCAGCTTCCAAGGGAAGCCAAAGGAGCTGACGTGGAAAGCTTGGGCGAAGACGACTTTCCTCGGATACATGGAACCGTTTGATAGGCACGATTGGCTGGTGGACAGGTGTGGGCAGGAGGTACGGTATATCATTGATTTCTACACAGGAAAGAGCGCGGAAAGCAGCCATCCGCGGGGGGATAGCGGGCTGGTTGGAGCAGCGTCATCGACTGCCAGGGCCGGCCCTAGCCTCTCTTTCTACCTCGATGTACGGCCTGCGCCTGATAGCATCGACAACCTGAGGATGCGTGCAAGTAGATTATTCGCTGGTCCACCGCGTCAGCAGGCTGACACGCCGACGTCAGCTGTATAACCTACATTGCTCTTCAAGCTTTTTGCATCACCCTTGATTTGCACCCTAGCGACACACTCGTAGCTTGCCGCAACAACTATCCGCATTGTCCCTGTCACTTCACGCGCGTCAGCGTCATCTTTTCGATTTCAACGAGATGAGCGTCCTCGCACCGAAAGTCTGGGTAGTTCCCAGGGTGCACGGCTGCGGTAAACTGTAAGGTCCAGCGACATCGTGCGAGCAGGCGAGAACTTGATTTAACATCCGGCATGTCGATGTCCTGGTAGCGATCCTGGCGCGAGTACTTCTTCAGCTTTAATGTTGGAAGCTTTGCATCCTTGTTCGGCGTGTGAAGTTCCCAAACAACATCCTAGTTGCGCGCCGCAGTGCAAGGGTGTGTGGTCCCAAGGATGCTCGACGCGGCCTTTCGGTGAAGCAGCGCAAGGCATGCTGGACGATGAAGGCAATCGGGCGATATCATGCACGCTCGGCAAAGTTTTACGCCGCCTGATCAAGTGTCATAGTCAAACTGCACTTCTCCCGCGGTTTGTATTTCGCGCATCGACTCTACCCCCACGCAGCAGTTGAGCTGTAGTTAACGATTAGATGCCCTTCTGTTCCAAAGCACTGCGAGTGAGATATATTTGTGGCCCTGAAATCAGCACACGAGCTTTTATGTCGCATGCATGAGCAGCTGGCTACTCACGTGGAAAAGATTCCCAACCGTGTCGTCGGGTGCTGGACTGAAGCTGGAATTGATGTAAAGGAACTGGAAGGGAGACCAAAGCGCGGTCAGGGCCAGGCAGGACGAGTAGCGCAAGCGCAAAAGGGAGCGTACCAATGCATCAGATGCTTTCCATGCCAGCTCCTTGCGAAGAAATTGGATGACAGCCTGAAATTTATTGAACGCCGTGATGCGGAAATAATTGTTCTGCGAGCGCCAATCAGAAGGTCAGCTCCCGCGTTTTGTGCTTTCGCTGCATGGATGAGCGTTTTTCTCAGGACTCACCCTCATGATGGGAGCATTTCCGATCGCCTTGAACCGCACGACCACTAGAAGTAGCGTGCTAGGTGGTCAGCGCTGTCAACCGGTAAAGGAAGTCACCTCACGTTGCAACGTGCAAATGCGAGGCGCACCTTTTGTGGTATCCTTCTTTTTGTAAACATCAAGCGCCTGACTGGGCGTCATAGTTCCTGCAGCAGGGTTGACTGCAGCCGCAGCTGTGCTTGCTGTGCTGCTTCCTGACGGGATCCTTACGGCGCCGACGCCTGGACCAGACACGGACGGGCCGGGTGAAGGCGCGGACGGTAGAAGAGGCGCATCGGCAAAGGACGGAGGGACCGACGGCGCAGCGCTGCTTGTTGGCGACATCGCTAGCTGCTGCGGACTTTTGGACGCGCTCTTGACGCTCCGCACGCTCCTGAATGCTACATTTACAGACGTCCTTTGTCTCGAGATGCTGTGCTGCGAGCCATCTGCATACAGGGGGCTATGGGCTTCTTAATAGGATGTCAGAGTGTGCTCAGTGTAAGAAGTCGTGAGTGGAGCTACTCTGCCCCCACACCGAGACCCTGTAAATCCACGCATGAAGCTGACAAACACCGGCCGCCAGGGTGTCTGTCAGCGTCACCCGCGATGTGCCGACACGCAACCCCCGCCTCATCCGCGCAATGGCATCCCACTACCGGCTGCCCACTCGTCCTCTCACTACTTCTTTCTTGGAATCTGTCTGGTCGTCAGAAAGTCATTGATTAGTTTGTCAGCAAAGCATCAGCGCTCGTCGGGGAAGATGGTTGCCACCAGTGCTCTCAGCGCCATGGCGCCGCTGCGTCTCTCGAGCGCAGCTACCAACCCGCACCTGCGCCTCATGATGGTTGGAGCTTCCCGGGCTTTCGCATCAAGTGAGTCGCTTCCGCTTGCAAGCAGGGTGACGTCTCATTGGCAGGGTTCAAGGAGCAATGCGCTGACGCAATTATTTTCTACTTTTCCTGAGCAGCTTCCTCCGCTCAGATGCGTTCAACGAAGGGAACACATGCCAGCAACGCACAAGCTTGTGAGTGAAAAGCGTTCGTTGTTCGCAGCCGTGCAACAAGGCATGCTTCGCTCACGCACCTTGTGCCTCCCCCTTTTTCGCTTAACCAGCATACATCAAGGGCACTGTGAACGACCCCACAACGTTCCCGCCCCCTTCTGCGTCGCACGGCTCGTATCACTGGGCCTTTGAGCGTGCCATCTCTGTAGCGATCGTACCGATCATCGCTGCCGCCGGCGTCAAGCACGGCACCTCGGGTCTGCTCGACGGTGCCCTCGCTTTGACGCTCGTCGTCCACTCGCATCTCGGCTTCGAGCAGATTGTCGCCGACTACTTGCACAAGAGAAAGTACCCGATCCTCGGCCCGGTCAGCAGCTGGGGTCTCAGGGCAGCCACGCTCGCCTCTATCTACGGGCTTTACGAGTTCAACACGAATGACATTGGTAAGCCCTCTTCGCAGCACATCACTGGCCAGGGTTCTTGATGAAAAGGCGCTGACCAGCACGCTCGCTACTGTACGCGAACAGGCCTCAGCGAGCTCGTTGCGAAGCTATGGACTGCCTGATTTAGTATTCCCGTCGCGCAACACCACTTGTAATGGCAGGGGAAGGGTTGCACAGATGTACGAGGTAGGTCAGTGATGGTCCAGAGGGACGATTACGAGGAAATAAATAAACGACCTTTTATGGCATATCGTAAACCTGGTCCAGCGTCCTGCAATGCATTTGCACCGGAGTGCTGTCATGTGACAGGTCCGGCAGTCACCGCCAATGACCGACACGACCTTTCTTGAGACTTGGGCCGTTGCCTCACAAAGCCCGATCCCTGACCTGGGGGTTCGCCGTATATAGTAGCCAGACTGCCTGAGTCTTTGCGCTATTTTCGGGCGCTGCACACAAGGAAGGCGGGTGGGGTGGCAGCTATTGCTTAAAACAATGAAATGGAGCCTGCGGACGTTTTCGATGCGATGCAAGGTTTGTCGCCCGCATGTGTAGTACCCGGCATGAGCCGGACGATCAAAGCGGGTTAGAACATGATGCGACGCATGCGTAGGAAGAAGCATTCGATCTTGATGCGCGTTGGCAGAAGCGGGGAGTGTCTATTCCTTCTCGCCTTGAGTATTAGGAGGGGGAGCATCGAGGCGCGTTTTATTTCTTTTTTGGTGGGTCTGGGTGTTCCGAGTTTTCAAACAGACATGCAGAGGATGAAGAGAGTTTCCGCTGCGGGCAGTGGGCGGGTTGGTAGGCAGGTCGCTTGCAGCGGCGGAGATGTCCATATGAGTATGGTGCTGAGAACTCAAAATCTCAAACCCACACACAGAGCCCGGCAGCGCGGCACTGTACTATACTTGTGGGCGTGTGATCTGCTCGACGTGAGTCCAGTCACAGCATTCTTCCAATGGCTCACGCGACATTGCCTGTTGGCTATAGCTATCCCATCAGACAGGTTGTTTCACTGCATCCACTGTACCCACTGTGGCCACAAGCCCTCTACCTGAACCAAAGAGGACCGCCCTAGGTGGAGCTCGTTCGTAAGCGTCACCTCTCCTGTCGGCGCTTCCGCAGGTACTCTGCGCTTCCTTCACCGATTTTCTGGCGCGTTCGCACGGCGATCAAAACAGACAATGGTTGCTGCTGCTGCTGCTTCGGCGGCCCTCGAGACCGGCAAAGTCTCGGTGCTGCTGGGCGCCCAATGGGGTGACGAGGGAAAAGGTGCGAACGTCTGTCCTTTTACGCCATGCAGCAAGCACTGACTCCGTCCTCTTGCCGTTTTGTCTTTCTCCGGATCCCCACGAGCAGGCAAGCTCGCCGATGTCCTGTCCATGAACATGGACGTCTGCGCACGCTGTGCTGGCGGCAACAATGCTGGCCACACGATCGTCGCGCACATCGGACCTGACAAGGTCAAGACCAAGTTTGACTTTCACCTGCTGCCGTCTGGGTTGGTCAACCCCCGCTGCGCCGGCTTCATCGGTTCGGGCGTCGTCGTCCACGTACCGTCCTTCTTTGCCGAGCTGGATGCGCTACAAAAGAAGGGCCTCAATTGCGATGGCAGGCTGTTCCTTTCTGATAGAGCACACCTCGTGTTTGACTTTCATCAAGTTGTTGACGGACTCAAGGAGGTCGAGCTCGGTGGAAGCAGGTGAGCGCTGAAAGCTTTGCTTTTTTCTTCCAACCTCCCCCTGCAAGTGAAGTGTATTGATCAGATGTGTGCATACATGTACTACCCTGCGCTCGCAGTATCGGAACCACCAAGAAGGGAATCGGGCCAGCTTACTCGTCCAAGGCATCGCGCTCCGGCCTGCGTGTCCACCACTTGTACGACCAAGAACTATTCGCCAACAAATTCCGGAAGCTTGTAGAAGGGAGATTCAAGCGGTACGGGCACTTTGAATATGACACGGAAGGAGAGATTGCGAGATACAAGGTGCGTTGCGTCTCGATCTTGCGTTGCAACAGGCGCGGTCTGGCTAAATAACAGGTTTGTGACACCTGCAGGCTTTTGCGGAACGATTACGTCCCTTTATTGTCGACGGCGTCACGTTCATCCACACTGCCATCTCGCAAAAGCGGCGTGTGCTTGTCGAAGGCGCAAACGCATTGATGCTGGACCTCGACTTTGGCACGTACCCTTACGTCACCTCGTCGTCCACCTCGATCGGCGGTGTTTGCACGGGCCTCGGCATCCCGCCCACGGCGATCGGGAGCATCATCGGCGTCATGAAAGCGTACACTACGCGCGTCGGTGCCGGACCGTTCCCTACCGAACTCACCGACGAGATCGGAGTGCACATGCAGGAGGTCGGTGCCGAGTACGGCGTCACCACCGGCAGGAGGCGCCGCTGCGGCTGGCTTGACCTGGTTGTAATGAAGTACTCGTGCTTGATCAACGGTTACACAAGCCTGAACCTTACCAAACTCGACATTCTCGATAACCTCAAGGAGGTCAAAGTCGCCGTCGCATATCTGCAGAACGGAAAGGAGCTCCCTTGCTTCCCAGGTGAGTCTACGCCTGGATTGGTCTCGTCGCACATCGTCCTGCACGGCTTCTGACACCCCTTCTTTCCCCACCAACCAGCCGACCTCGACATACTCGCAAACGTCGAGGTAAAATACGAGACTCTGCCTGGCTGGCAGGGGGACATCTCGACAGCGCAGACGTTCGAAGAGCTGCCGGAGAACTGTCGCGCGTACGTCGAGTACGTCGAGAAGTTCCTTGGCGTCCGCATCGAGTGGATCGGCGTTGGGCCTAGTCGGGAGAGCATGATTAAGCGCTGAGTCAGGCCGCAGCTAGACGACTATTGCGCTTTTTTGTAGAAATAGACTGGAAACAATGTGCTTCTTCCTTGCTTCGAGAATGGGAGGAGGGATGCGCTGAACCGCGAGCGCATCGAGGCATAGAAGGCAAGACACATACTCAAAACGAGGGTACGAGGGCTGCACTGCTGGCACAAGTGTACAACCAAAGGAAGCGTGTGCATGTTTTCGTGCAGGAATGATGTATTCGACTGTCCGTATGTTTGTAAGGATGCATTCAAGTGCATGTGCGTGCTTTTGTGAGTATGCGATTATATGCACGGTTGATAAATGGAGAGTTGCCATTTTGAAGGGCGAGGAGAGGAAGATGGTCGTTGAGGATGGGAAAAGGCAAAGAGTCGCTTGCCGCAAAGAAAGGCTTGACCGGGCTGCAGGGCAACCTATGATTCCTTCTTGGGTCCCACAACGACCGTGTCGGTGTATCCGTATACCTTCTTCTTGCTCAGCGAGTGCACTTCTACTGTGTACTCGCCCGGCGCGATCGAACCCACGGCAGGGACGGTCCATTTGAAGTCGCCGCACGTCTCGTTGGTGTTGCCGTTGTCGCAGTGCGCGGCGTCGTGCCTACCCGAGGTGCGCGACGTGATGGTGACGGACTTTAGTTGATTTGACGCTGCGCGTGTGCTGAGTGCCTTGCCGCCGCCGGACAAATGCTCAGCCTTGTGGTGCACTCCCGACTTTTCCACCTTGGAGTGGTGGTGCTTAACCTTAGCGCTAGGAAGGTGGGCAGGGCGTTTCTCCTTCGGTTGGGAAGCACAGATGTCAGCTGCGTGGAAAACGCAGTGCAGAATCTGACCGCACATAGCTTCCGGTGCACTCACCTTGGGGTATCTGCCGGCGGCCTTGTGCGCGGAGTGCTTGCCCTTGTGTCCTTGCTTAGAGCCTTCGCTCTTCTTGTCATCGTCCTTGTGGTGTCTTTTGTGTGCGTGGGTAGGGATCTGCTCCTGGCTGCTCATGTCTCTCTTCGAGTATGTCTCAGGAACGAGGTGGATCTCAACGTCTCCCTTGGGAGCATTGAGCCAGTTGATGGTGACCAGATCACCGTAGTGCCAGTGCACCTTGCATCTGTAGGAGTCGCACGCTGGAGAGGTGATCTGCAGCCGTCAAGAGGAGATCAACACACAAGAGAATAATGACGCCGGTCAGAAGTTGGATAGCCGACCTGCGGGGACAAATGCAGAGACCGCCTTCACATAGAGCTGGACACCCGTCGGATCGTCTGGGTTACCAGAGGCAAGAACGTTTGCGGTGCCGCACAACGAGAAAGCAGCGGCAAGAGCGAAAGAGGAAATAGCGTGCAACCGCATTGTTACAGATGGCGGTGCTTTTGTGGGTCTGCAGGTCAGCTAGCTGCGTAGTCTGACACGGAAGGGAGATGACTGAACGAGAGAATACGGCCGGCTTAGCGGAAGAGTGTGCTTCGAACGTCGATACGAAGGCGAACAGGAGGAGTACAGATGCGAGATGAAGGAGAGGAGTGGATGATGGCGAGGATTCAGGTGGTCAGGGGATATATGTACATTGTAAGAAACGAACGATGCATCTTTAGGTGGCGAATAGTATTGGTAAGTCTGTTGCAGATTGTTTCAGGTGTGTGTGCATATAAACAGTACACAACGCGACACCCGTGGCCCCGAGGGAGCTGCACGAAGCCCCTCCAGCTCCAGCCGCTCAAATTGCGCCCAGACGACACAGTCAGACGGCAGACGCAGTATGGATATACGCACACTGCTCAGTGGACATCATCCATCAGCAAGACGCGCAAGTCTGCAAGCAAGTGTGCTATATGCACATGTACGTAACTAGCAGCCAAAAGTCAGATCCAGACACGGTCGGCCGTACCACAGGACGGGATACCACTGACGTACGCTGCCAAACCTAGCCGTACAGGCCGCATGTTCGAGTCCGCGCAGTTTGACCATTTCGCACAGTCTACTGCGTACACAAATCGTGCCATCAGCCATCCCTACAGAACACTCGTAAAGTCCTAAAGAGTCCTGAACCTCCTCACGTTCCAAGGGACCCTTGAGCAGTTCTCATGTGGTCCTAAGAGACCATCACATCATCGGCGTCCAGCGGCAAGCCGCCAGCGCGCCAGAGCGGGTCAGCCTTTTCGTCGCGAAGCTGAAGCGAGGTGTGTGTTTTCAGCGTGATGCACTGCAGTTTGGTGAAGTACACGGCATGTAAGTAGCATATCGCATACGGTAGCATACAGTGTACAAAAAAGCCGGCGGCACTGTGCACATACAGAAACTACAAGTCCCCCATCACGGCCCCACCCACCGTCTCCGCGTCTGTCCAGTGTCCACGAGTCTGGACCGAATGCCCATTTTGTATTCCAAGACGCAGAATACAGCCAGCCGCGCAGGTTTCCTTGCAAAAGGGTTCCAGTCCGAACCATATGTCGCCTCTTTTGATCTCATCGCCCATTCGCTTATCGCTCGGAGAATGATGCCCGTTGGCCGGTGAATTGTGAAACGTGCGTTCTCCTATACATCCGCCCGTGGAAATCATTTGATTCCTTCCGCCGACGTCGCCACTCCGGCTCCTTCTGCAGCGAGCGGCAGAAAAGATGCATAAAGTGAACGAAGGCTGTGCGATGCGACACGACGCAAGAGGAAACCGGGGACAACTGGAGAGACTGTGAGATGGGCGGGTAAGAAGTGGATAGTGAGGATAGGAGACGTGGAGGCGGTGGGGTGAAGTGCGACGGGTTGCATGGTCGAACGCCGAACGTTGTTATGATGGTAGAGCCAAGATGCAGGTCGAATTGAAGGGATAGGGACAGATCGACAGGGCACACTGTCGCAGTACTGCACAGAGTCCTGACTCAGACAGCCTTGCCCAATAACCCGGCGGCTTGTTCCTTGCCGACTCCGACGGGCGCCGTGCCGCCTGCTGCGCCGACTTTGTTAATACACTTGATGAGAGACTGGCGAAGAGATGCATCGACGCGTCCAGGCTCCAGTCAGAGTTCAATCGTCAACTACGCACTGGAGCCGTGCCAACTCTAACACGCGCTTTTACAGCCACGCTCGAGCGGAACGCCAGAATGCCGGATTTACGTATGCTGATAATCATCCCCTGAGCTTCGTTTCTTGTGAACATTCACTTTCCCAACCGGAGAACTTATCGCACCAGTCCGCCTTGCTCGTCCCGCTAACTTCTGCTTCTCTGTACAAATCTTCCCAGCAATTAAATAGGGCTCATTGCCTTTCGCAGATCTTTAGCGTACTTGCGATGCGTCCAGGGAAATACTATGCTGTCCTCGCCAAGATGCTCAGCAAGTGCAATGATTCCTGCTTGCTGATGAACAGCTCGCCGGGTTTCGCATGCAGCTCGAAAAGGTAAGATGAGCCTGCTCGATTGTGCGATCGGATTGAAAGCTTTCCTTTAGGTCCTTTCGGATGTCAATGTGGCTCACTTTCGGGGAGGAAGATCGGGACTTCCAGACAACAGAGTTCCGGAAGCAGAAGGATCAGGTCCGAGTCACTTGCTGGCCAGAAACGCCGGCGAATTCGCTGGGCACTAGAAACATTGAGGGAATGATATGAGATTCCTGTGACTACTAGACGATGCGAGAAGGGTTATGCACACAAACAAGATGGGCTGTGCATGTCGAACAAGGACACTGATCGATGGAAGTTGAGCCCAATCTGTGTTTGCTACGCTTGTAGTGGCGGCTGAACGATTCGACGGCTGCTCTAGGTGACGACCAACGGCTGGCCGGTGGCATCATAAGCCATGGTCGGCGCATGAACTTGGGGCGTCGCTGACCTTCAACCCTTCAGCGAGGCATGACTTGACGGATCAACCGACACCAATATTCCTTAGGATTGAGCCAGTTGGACTCAGGATGATAACTCACCGTGGCATGGCTGGAAATCCGAATGGCAAGACAGGCTTGAAATGTATATGAATGGTACTCATACTCCCTCCGTCTCTTTGCACAAGCATATCCCCTACCACTGCACACAAGCTCAAAGATTTTGACGGTGATGGTGTAAGTGACGCTGAGATATGGTGTGGGGTTCAGGCTGTTGAGCATTTGTTTCGCTGCATGGCTAGAAACAATTCGTCATATCAGGCAGGGAAGTGGTGCTAA